TTCCATACATTTCTAAATAATATATCAATAATATAGCTTTCTGTTTACTAACTTCCATACATTTCTAAATAATATATCAATGATATAGCTTTCTGTTTACTAACTTCCATACATTTCTAAATAATATATCAATAATACAGCTTTCTGTTTACTAACTTCCATACATTTCTAAATAATATATCAATAATATAGCTTTCTGTTTACTAACTTCCATACATTTCTAAATAATATATCAATGGTATAGCTTTCTGTTTACTAACTTCCATACATTTCTAAATAATATATCAATAATATAGCTTTCTGTTTACTAACTTCCATACATTTCTAAATAATATATCAATAATAAAGCTTTCTGTTTACTAACTTCCATACATTTCTAAATAATATATCAATAATATAGCTTTCTGTTTACTAACTTCCATACATTTCTAAATAATATATCAATAATACAGCTTTCTGTTTACTAACTTCCATACATTTCTAAATAATATATCAATGGTATAGCTTTCTGTTTACTAACTTCCATACATTTCTAAATAATATATCAATAATATAGCTTTCTGTTTACTAACTTCCATACATTTCTAAATAATATATAAATAATATAGCTTTCTGTTTACTAACTTCCATACATTTCTAAATAATATATCAACGGTATTGTTTTCTGTTAACTGACTGGATTTTCATTCATAAAGTGTCACAGACAGCTTAATTTTAGCAATGTATACAGTAAGAAGACAATGAATGACCATCATCATTCTTCAAACCAGCTTTGAGCTCTTGAGTCTCTAGATTAAAAAAGCTCTTAGCTTCTTGAGCTGGACTATAATAATTATATTCACAAATGTTCCTAGCAAGGAAGGGAATGGGTACCTTTATGGGACACCTGATTTCACATTGATTTTAACACGGAAAATAAGAAAAAAGCAATAAGTTTATTACCACAAAATAAAAATAAATATTCAAGATTCTTACCAAAGTATTAGATTTTAATTCCTTCAATATTTTACATTTTTTGATAGTAATCTGTTTAATCTGATTCTTTGCATCATTTTCTTCAGCTGTCAAATCGACCTTCTCTGATTCTACACGTAATATACTGTCTTTTTTATGTGATATCTGAGTCTGTAGTCGTCTTTCTATTCCTTTCTGTTCTTGTAATTTTTTCTGAAATAAAATCATAATAACATAGTTGTAATTGTTGATTGAGGATGTGTATAGCTTCTATTTGTGTTATAATTTTCTTTGTATGAAAAGTTGATAATTCAAGACCAATGCACTTGGAGTGCACTGAGTTTACAATTTTCATTTTGATTTGAAGAAAGAACTAGAATAGATAATATAATATCATCACAATCTTTCTCTAAATAGTATTTTCAAAAAGTTGGAAATGATTTAGGTGCTTAGTGTTCAACAGTTGTACGCCTAACTCAATAAAATTCAAAATACAAGTCAGTACTAACCTTTTGTTCTCTCAGTTGATTGAGAGTTGCATCCCATTCTTTTGATTTAGTCTGAATTTCACGATATTTATCTTCTAGAGATTTGATTATTTTCTCATGGCTCTGAAAAAAAGGCATATCCATTTTATGGCATAACACTTTTGATACTTACAATCAATCAATCAATCATACTTTTATCATGGTTAGCTTAAAAGAAACACAACTGACCTGTATTTGTCTTTTTAATTGATTTTCTCTCTCTACATCAGTTGAAATGGACAGAAAACTGGATTCTCTACAAAATACATCATGATGTTATAGAGCAGAGGACAATACATGAACAATATATTTATACAAACTGAACAAACAAAAACAGACAAGTATTAAACATACTTACTTGATGAGAGTGTTTTTAGTTGAACAGGACCCATCATACTTGGATTTTTTAATGGAATACTGAAAATATTATAATAACATAGTGAGAAAAAGTTGGTCAAATGGTGGGTGTGAATTCTAATCTTAGTCTGTTGACTTTGAAAAAGTAGTCTTTCCTTCATATTTCAGTTGGTACAGAAAATCTGGGAGAGAGGAATGCCAAGAGGTTTAGCCAAAGGTGAACCTAAGTTGTTAAACTTGTCAAAGATGGTTGTTTCTTTGCTCTTTCTTTCTTCAGTTTGAATCTTCATTTCCAAACTAACTTTGTTGAACTATATTTCATTTGAATTAAAAGGCCCCATCTAATAAAATCTGGGATTGGCTAACCCACCATGAGTCATTGTTAAAAAAAAATGAATTCTACATGACACACTTTGATTGGATAAAAATTCATTAGAACAGGATTGTGGTAGAAAACTTGTTAGATAACAATGGAGAGGAAAAATATTAGAAAAATTGTTATCTACTTTAAGATTGAAAGGTGCTTGGATAAATTACAAATTGACAGTAATGGCCTACCTGAGTATCAGCAGTATAAAACATGTTTAATTCAGAATGATCTTTAATAACACCATCTACATTATCTTTAGTATATTTATCTCCTACTGGTATAGAATGAACACGATATAAACAACATAGATATCTCATCACAGGATCAGGGCATTCAAACATATCTTTTAAATAATGGTGAAAACCATAGCGTCTGAAATATAAACAAGGATAGTTAAACCAGTATTACAAGGAATAGATTTATAACTATTTTTCTTACAAGTAAAAAAATATCAAGTAAATCTTGGAAGAACACTCCACTATTGACATTCTCGTTACAATAATACTATAATTCTTTATACATTTAACTACAAGTTCACTCAAGATGTGTTAGATTCTCATTCTGTTACTGGTAGTTACATCAGCTGTTACAGTGAATAATTAAACTACTTATCGACTATTTAATTTTGAGGCGTTTTTGTAGCTCAATTAGATTTCATAGATTAGTTATTCTGTGCATTTGTGAGCCAGAAAGTTAAGGCTAATTGGTATACTTGTGAGAAAGTTGACCTAAACTGATTAGGCTAATCATCCTAATTGACCCAGTAGGTGTTCAGGCAATTTTATCAGACTTTTCTAAGATGGCGCCATGTGGAAGTTCAATAACAATAATAATCAAAATAGATGACTTTCTTTTGTTGTTTTGCAGTCATATTGCCTAACCACCCATATCAAATTTCGCAATTGTAGACCACTTGTAACCTAATCAAAATTGCCCCAAATCGTACTGGCAAATCGAAACCAAATCAAATTAGCTGATAAAAACACCTAATGGCTGAGTATCTGTTTGAAATGAATACTGACCTATAGTGATTAATATCATATTTAGCTTTATAAGATGACACAGCTTGAGGTGGCATTTTAGCAGCATTAACTTTCAGTTTCTGTTGATCTCTAACAGCAGATAGAAATACTTCCAGATCTTCAGCATTCTCTACTACAAACATCTTCATATCATTAAAGGAGATGTGAGTTTCTAAATACTTGGCATCAGCTGGATTATATACATTCACCTGGAATGGAAAACAGTGAATGAACGACTGGATATTTATTCAAATATGTCTTGATCTGTGCGTATATAAAAAGACTGGATAATTGTGATAAAAAGATTACATTATCAGTATTTAGGGATGCTGGGCAATATCAGCTTCAGATGATGGAAGGGGCCTATAACTTGCCATCAACCAACCAAGTAGAAAATCAGAAATATGCATGCCTGAAAGAGTGGAATACTAAAAACCTTTTCGAGACTACATTAAATTATATAGAAAAGATAAAAAAATTTCCTTTGGAATATTTCAAAGGAGGCAAGATGAATATTGAAACAACACAAAATTTCTGTTAACTTACACAGAGCAGAACAGGTTCACAAATTTCTCCTCTAAACTTATCTCTATTTTGTCTTAACCACACAACAGCTTCATATGTATCCCTGTGACTACGTCGTAAACTTTCTAGTCTTTGATTACCAATATCTTGTAGCCTGCGTAATGACAGCTGCATCTCTATTGGTCAATTAAAATAGATTAGAAGGTTTCAGCAGTGCAATAAACTTGAAAGTAAAACTTGATAATAAAGTGGAAGTCAACAGTCAACCAGGCTTTATATGTGTTATCAAGAAAAGACCATTGCAAAAAGGTTTGACTGAGGTACAGTAGAAATGAAAAGATCCTTACTTAGTATTATCTTCTCAAAATAAAATTCTTTTTTACTCTTTTAACTGCTGAGTGGTTTTAAACGATCAACATCTATTTTATTGTGTCATTCGAACAACTAGACTGAAGTATTGATATGAGGCGTATGCATTATTTCAAATTATCCAAAACCCCAAGTTAGCAAGCTAGCACCTTACTCCAAAAGTCATCCCAGTTTCCGAGCTTGGTCTATTGACATACCTTGTAACTCTCTCTTCTTGTTGTTGATATCCATTCTGAGACTGTCACCCTGTTGATTCAAGTTACTCATTTCTTTCCCAGCATTCCTCATATCTAGATTGATCTTTTCTATAGCAGGCTGAAATCATAATTTCATTTCATATACAAAGATTGATCTGTTTTATATTGGACAAGATTCTTGCCTTGCTGAAGTAATGGTCCTGTGCAGTTATTTTAACAAAATACTGTTAATTTAATGCATGACAGAATGCTGACAAAATCATTACAACTTGGCCTGTTATCTACTCTTTCAACATTTTATTTCCCAGATGAATCACACATCAGACTTTCATTCTGAAATGCAATACAGATTGCTGACAAAGTTCATCTGTCCTACTAGTCAACCTGTGTTAACAATCAAAAATATTAAATTCCAATACCTGTACATCTTCTGTAGTGTCTAAATTTGATAATTCTTTCTCTAAAACATGTAACTGTTTCTTTAACCCACTTAACCTGGTCAAGCAGAAAAAATAATTTCAGATTTCATATGGAATCTCTGCTTTACCTGTCCCAATTTCATACTTAACCATAGTTTATTTCATGTTGTTCTTATATACAAAGGAATTCCCATGAGTACACACTGTAGCATGTGGACCAAATAGATAATCCTTTCTTAATAATGAATGAAAAATAATAATACATCAGATAGCTTGAAAATTGTAAATATTTGATGCACTTGCAAAATTGTCTATCATATTGAGAAATAAAAAAGTCAGAAATCAGAAATATTTTTCTTACTTTTTCAATCTTCCATCTTCCTCCTCTTGTTTAAATTTCAAATCTTTCTGAATGTCAGTTATCTGAAAAACGATGAAGAAATAAAAAAGTTACTCTTCAAGAAATGTATTTTGTTTTTTATGTGGGATGTTATGTAGGAACGTCCGCAATTTTTTTTTAAATTGAAAACGTACACAACAATTCACTTTGCCAGAACAACATAAGTCTAATCTCTTTTTTCCTCTCAATTTCACGCTTTTAATAATATTCAGATAGAATACAATTACTAAAGATACAACTAATTGTATTTGAAAAGTGTTAAATTAAAAGTTTTCAATATCACAAATTAAAAACAATTTAAACTACATTACCTTATCAGTCCAACTCTCTAATTCATCTGTAGCTGATTTCACCTTATCAGCATAACTTTTAATCTGTGTACTCTATAGGAAATAAATTTCAACAGAAATAATCAGTTATATTGACCTTCTAATAGAAATCCTTAATTGACAACACAACATTTATTCTCATGGAATTATCAGCATAACTTTTTATTTGTGAGCATCTTACAAGCCAAAATCCAAGGGAATTAAAGTAATACCAACCTCAAGTAGGTCCAAAAGTCTATGCTGGTGTCATAATTACCAGTTTATATATATCAAAGATAATAACTTACTTTCTGTTTAATCTGGGCTTCAAATGATTCTTTAAGGTGTTTAGCTGCCTGAAGTTCTTTTTCTAAAGGAATGAGGCTGGATTTTGCTTTCTTTAATTCATCCTCTTTTTCTTTTAAATTGTTCCTTTTTTCTATATAACTCTTTCTGGTGTTTTCATATTCCTAAAATAGACATAATTAACATATCTTGATTGATTCAATTGAATAACATTCTTGAACTACAAATACCTTCTTCCTTTTGACAACAACAGATAATGAATCATCCACTCTAGCATGCAATAGATAAAGCAAATACTTCACAGCCCAACTTTGAAATATACTTTAACTGCAAATATAACTGTAAATATCCATTGAAAACTAAGAGCTTTAGCGATTTTAATATCCATGACAAGGGCCAGAACTCTTATCTTGTGTGTAATAATCTTAGGATCTGGTTGTTTTTTTAGGTTGTATCTGTTCTCTTGTGGAAATTACATCACAATATCAGTGACCAGACTGAATGACTTTATTTTATTTAAATAACTTACCACCCAAGGTTTTTTCTTCTTCAGTAAATCTATTCTTTCAATATGTGATTGTCTTTCACCAAAGTTTTTAACATCTTGTTCCAGACGTGCATTTTTCTGTTTTTCTTGTTCCAGTCTGTCTCGTAATGTTGTGAAATCAATTTCTAAAGTTCTGGCTTGTTTCCTGGCATCTTTCAGTTTCTGATGGTTTTCATACAATTCCATACCACCAACCTAGTCAACAAAGTTACAATAAACAGACAGTAAAGTCTTTGAATGGCATTTAGCACTTGTGAGTACAATATATAGACACAGCTTTATGGAACAACAATCACTGGTTAAAGTTTTATGCAACGTTTCGACGTGTTTCCCTCGTCGTCCTCAGGCACATAATGAGAAGAAGTGATGGGCAAACTATATATACATTAATGCTTATTATTAAGAACACACAATGTGTCTATATATAAACAGATAGTACCGGTAGTTAAGGTTTTGAGGCAATGACAAATTCACCATATTAATTATATATATTTCATCAAAATGCATAAAATGTTCTATTCATATTTGTGAATGTCAACGTGGCAATAGTAAGTCTATTGACAATAAATTACCAGTTATATCATTCTGTATTATCTGAACATGTACAGCATTGAAAAACTCATATTGAATTTATCTAATAGCCCATATCGCAATACATATTGCATTGCAGCCCTGATATGATATCGTTTCATATCGTATAATATCACAGCCCTCATATTGTGATATGTATCATACAGTGACATGTTTAGGCAATATCCAGTACTACTACAGAAAGAGAATATTAAGTTAACTTACCGCCTTTTCTGTATTCTCCAACATTTCTTGTTGAGACATTTTTGCAAAATCTGCCACTTTCTCTTGTGGCAAAAACTGACATAAATTACCAACTTGAATACTCAATCTAGCTGCTGTTTCTTCAACCTGAATAAATCATTAACACATGTATTTGACAATCTGTAATCAGAGTTCTAACTAGTGCTAAAACATTCTTTTAATGTCTGAACATACTGGTATGGTATACTGCTTGTGGATATCAAGTATCAATATCAAATAAAAATATTTATTCAAATTGATGTGGAACAAAAACACCAATAGCCCGGTTTATTGGCTCAGTTTAAAGGGGAATAGTCAGCATTTAATAACAAAATATAAAACATACAGCTTTCTGTGTAGATGGTCTACCATTGACCTTCCATGTCGATGAATTATTTTTATGTATTTCACGTTTAATAATATAGTTATCTCCTGAGGCATTGAACCTAAAATAAAAACAAGTTTAATATTTAGATATTTGTCCATTTGAAATAACACTTGGAAGATTCATACAAACAAGACACACATTTCCTTCTGTAAATTCAATTTCACAAAGTATATGAAAATTCATTACTATTTATTAGTTGGTATGAAATCAATTAACAAATTGTAAACTATTTTCTGTATGTACCAGTAGCTCAGTATAAAAAGTGTAATTAATAATAAGAGTTCTTTTTACCCTAGTTTCATTTATAGGTACTAGGTAGTTATTATCTACGTTATAGATATACATTATATAAACTAATATAATTTTATAATTATACTTGACTGTTTCATCTCCATTATGGAGACTCGGTCTGTGATAGTATATATTTTGATTTAATAAAACAACTGAGATATGCAAGCATTTAATATTATTGTATTATCATATTTTATTTATTTAAGATAAAAAAATAACATATTGCTATTCTGAAACGACAGAAGTGGGACAGTTCTTTCCTTCATATTGATGTATTAAATAAAAATAACAGTACAATGGATTATCATCAATCTAAATGCTCTATAAGAAAGAGGTTGGGTCCCCAAGACCTTATTACTTACAATTCAAGTTCAATTTTTCCTGCAGAATTTCCATATTTAATGTATTCAGAAAACTGAGAAGCTCGACCCAATAGACTTGTTTTTCCAGCCAACCCCAAACATATAGCACATACTATAGTTGATTTACCAGTCCCATTTGGTCCAATGATAACATTTAAACTGGGTCCAGGATAAAATTCCACTGAATCATACGTCCTGAAAAATGTTAAATATTGACATCAAATAGTATTCTTCTAAAGAAACAAAAAAAATCAGTCTAAAAGAAAAAGAACATATCATGATAAATGACTTCTTGTAGGTTATTCTTGTGGGTTCTCTCTACAAAATGAATTTTTGAGTAAGGATAACTTATTTTGAGTGAGGTTACCAGACCTAGCTGCATCATTTTTCTGCTATTGTGTTTTGTAAAAAATCATGGCCCTCATAAATTAAATCAAACAATTTAATGATCCGGATGTATAAAATGCATGTTAAAGGTAGACCCTACAGGTGCGGCATTTTGGGGGTTGATTTGTGCCTTACATGGAAATAGTCTGCAGAGCAATTAAAAATCTTTAATAAACGTTAACCCTGAAAACTGATATTATTTATCCAATTTACAAGTTGCTTAAAGTGACAGCTGCACCATTTTGGGGGGTTGATTTTAGTCTTGAATATATGTAAATAGTCTTCAGAACTACTAGGAATGTAAGAAAATCGCATAATTCCTTTACAATACTTCAAACTAGGAATTTTAATCACTATTTCTATATATGTCTCTTCTATATATCGAGTCGTCATTTTAACATTCAATCGCAGATAATTCTAGACACACATGGGTTTGAAGGTTGAAATTTTGATAGTGAGATGTGAACATCATGACTGATTGGCTCAGCTAAAAAAAATCCTGTTTAAGAGACTGAGTAAGATTGATAAAAAAAATGGCGCACCAGTTCCTTTAACAAATCAATGTGGAATTTTATCAGCTGATTGGGCCACCTGGTGTATTTCAATGTAGGCCCCTTTCTATGGAAAATTATCCATGTTCCGAAAGTCAATATAAATTAAGTAAAAAAGAAGAAAATGTCATTTCAAATTCATGAAAAGAAAATCTAAAGATAAAGAAATGGGAAAAATTTGATGCTTTTCATTACATAATCAATGTCTGACAATGCCAATTAAAGTCAAAGACATTTGTTCTGTTTGTCAGAAGTTGTGGTTGGCAAATTCAAGACACAGATTTGAGCCAACCAAAAGTTGACAAGACTTACAAGATATTTTCGAGTTTTATTCGAACTATGGAACCTTCAACAAAACTGTCCTTCCCCTGGTTTGCTCGAGAACCGCTAGCATTTTCATGTCTAGGCATACTTTCATTCTAAGAAACGATATTCTTAGAAAAAACTTCAAAAGATTTCCCGCAATTTTCGTCAAACCTGGAAATTCCCCTCAGTTGACTTTAGTATCGTGTAATAACTTGATATGGAATTAATTAAGGACTTATTCTTATTGATAAAGATTAATAAACCTTCAGATGTCGTGATTTGTAAGTCAAAACTATTTTTCAAGCAGAAAAATGATTGTAAAAATCATAGACAGACTAGATGATGAAAAGATATTTTTAATCCAAATACATATTTTACACTGATTATAATTATTGGGAATTCCTCTGTCTAAAAATAGTAATGGTTTCCTGGGGAATTCTTGTTCCGGTGAAGTATGAAAAATATGAGACAATTTGTAATTATCAGATGATCTGGGCGAAACCGAAAGGAAATATAGATCTATAGTAACTTTCACTCATTTGAAGAAGTAAGCCTTTGAATGAATCTGATTTCAGCCACGAATTCCTAAGTTTTTCAGAGGATTCTCTATTTCGGATGGAAACTTGTTGAAATCAGAGCCGGACGGATCAGAATCCAGTGTCACTGTAGTGTTAAGTTACATTTATTTGTTCTGAGGCTAGAGAAAGAAGAGTAAACCGATAAATGTGAACAAGAAATAGGCTTATTCCAATCAAATCTATAAACTGAAGACTTGGACCCTGTTTCTCAAAAGTCCGTACGACTAAACATAAACACGTTGAGTGAAGAAGAAACGTTATTTTTGACGTTATCAAATCATTGAGGTATAATGTTTACGTTCGTTCGTTAATCTACGATATTTTGAGAAACGGAGTCCAGAAATAAAGGGAATTTATGTATGTGTAAGAAACATAAACCTTAGGCTGGCAGGCTGTTGCTTCAACTGTTATTTTAGTTATAAGTAACCAATGTGATGTTAACTTGAGTGGGGCTGCCATTTCAGTTTAATTTCATAATTCCACAAACTTTGGTCATACATTTGAGTTACAGCAACCGTGTAACTGACATCTTAACACCCAGACATTCAACCCTTGTGTTAAGTTCCAGTGTTTTATTGGAGAGTTAATTCAAATATCAAAATGAATGTGATATTAGCTGTCAAACAATATGTCAGTAAAATGATAGAAGAAAGTGGACCTGGTATGAAAGTTTTATTGATGGACAAAGACACTGTAAGTACATTTTTCAACAAATCTTTTTAGAAATATATGTCAAATACCAGGGCTTAAAAAAAGATACCTTGAACCACTGATATTTGATTTTTTTTAATATTTAAAACCATTGAAAGCTCATTAAAAATTGTTTGTTTTATGAATATATTTTCAGACTACGTATGTTAGTATGGTTTATGCCAAGTCAGAAATTTTACAGAAAGAAGTCTATTTGTTTGAAAATATAGATTCTGGAGCTAGTCGCGAATCCATGAAACATCTAAAATGTATCACATTTCTACGTCCAACACAAGAAAATGTACAATTATTAGCCAGCGAATTAAAGTCTCCAAAATATGGACTCTATTATATTTGTAAGTACCAATATCAGTGGTATTTCTTCTTTAAGGGATTTTGTGTATCGGGGACATTGATAGCATCAGTTTGCACTATTCCAATTTTCAATCAGATATTTTATGTATTCATTCATGTAAAACCCAATAATCCTTCAGCCATCTGATTGCAAACCAATTCAAATTCATTGTATAAACCTCTTAATCTGTACGGTATATAGTTTTTGTAGAGACTATCTCCAAAGGACACAGTGTAACAGTCAAATATGTATTCATTTTGTTGTAGATTTTAGTAATGTTATCAGTAAACAGGATGTAAAGATACTGGCTGAGGCAGATGACCAAGAAGTTGTACGAGAAGTTCAGGTATATTTTTCAGTTAGTTTTGAGTAAACTTCTTAACATTTACTAATCTGCAACCTATGAATATGTAGAATTTCAATAATAAAAATGATTTAGAAATATTCCTGGAGCTCTAGATTAGTTACATTTTGATTGTTAACACCAAATCTTTCTATTTAGTGAACAGCTTTACAGCATTATTTATCAATAATTTTAATCGTTTACAATGAAGTTTAATAACGAGTTTGATATTATTTGCTGATGTTTGTTTGAATTTTGGTACTATTTATCAATCTTTACAATGTATAGAGCAACACCCTTTAATATTTATTGTTGTAATGATTATTTTCAGGAATTCTATGGAGATTACATAGCTGTAAATCCTCACCTATACTCCTTTAATTTGATTGGCTGTGCACAGGTAAGTGTCAAGCTGACTCTGTCTTCTGTGCTTTTCTTTATAACAGGATTCAATTTCCATTTGAATTGCAATTTGTCGCACCAAAATCATGTGGAAAATTACTTTGAATTTTGATTCAAATTTTATAACATGTAGTGAGTAAATGAAATGACTTGGTAATAGACCTTAAATTGATACATAGCTGAATATAAATCAATCTTAATAGTCCTTCAAGTTAAAATTGAATTTAAACAATCCAGGTGAAATAATTTATTTTAATATTCAGTCTCTAGCCTGGTCTAAGCCTGTTTTAACCAGAACAGCACAAGGCTTAGCAGCTGTGTTATTATCACTCAAGAAATGTCCCTTCATTAGATACCAGAACTCTTCAGAGATGGCTAGAACTCTTGCTGAAAGTGTCAAGGTAAGAGATCTCAATAGTGACTAGTATAACTGGGTTGTCCACAAGTGCTGTCGCCTGAGGATTGTTGTTATGTTTTGAATTATAAATCTCTGGATCTGTTGTGATGATATTTACTGGTGATAGGTATTGAAAGCTGACACTGAGTTGATTCCCGAAAACACTGTTTGTGGCCTCAGAATTTTTCTTAACCTGAAGAAGGATTTAAACCCATGATACCTATTTGCCTTGCAGACAATAATCCAATAAGCTTCAGACTGAGCAACAATATAGATAGTGTTTTAACTAGTACTGGCATGATATATCGCGATACAACTTACCACGTTTTCTTAAATTTTATGCCGTTACTTCTTATCACGTATTTTATCGTGACCCTTGTATCGGCATGATTGGCGATACCCAGCACTAGTTTGAACGTGGTATTAAAGTTGAACTTATATCTGAGTACTTTGTTTTCTTGTAATACAGTATATGTTATTTATTGTAGCAAATTATAATAAAGGAAGCAGGATTATTTGAGTTTAGAAAGACGGATGTGACGCCTGTGTTGTTGATATTAGATAGAAGAGATGATGCTGTTAGTCCACTGTTAAATCAGGTACTGTTTATACTTTCTCTTTCACACTTTCTCAGCTGTGATCTCTGAGTAAAAAGTGAAATAATGCAAGAAAAAAAAGTATTTTTGTTTCCAAAAACCATACTTGAGAAACTTTGCGATGTATGCCCACATGAAGATATGATTATGATTAATGTGATATCCGAAATAACCAATATCGTCCAGCTCTACAATGGAGCACATTTCAATTCGTGATAAAATCTTCTGATTATATTGATGTATATGACTTTTTATAGATTTAACCTATTATGATATACCTACTGTTAATGATGGATTCATGTATTTTTTATGATTTTTCAGTGGACATATCAAGCTATGGTACATGAACTACTGGGTATAGAGAATTCTAAGATCAATTTATCTAATGTACCCAACATATCAAAAGATTTAAAAGAAGTTTTACTGTCAGCTGAACATGATGAATTCTATGCTGAGGTAATATAAATTTTTTTTTCCATCAAGATTGTCTTTTGTAATTGACAGGAACTCATTTGATAATGTCGACACATAAAATCTAATTATGTGGGCTGGAAATTTTTTCAATTCCATTATTTGGAAAAATGGTATTTGAGATCATTTAACATTAGTGTTTTATAGGACTATTTTGATGATATTAACCCAGGACATGTTTTCAAAAGATTAGTGCAAAAATGATGGAAGAATTCTCTTTCAGAAGTTGGAGAAAAAAAGACAATGTGGTCCAGTTCTATCATAGAAAATAATCATTTAAAATTTGCTTACATCTATATCTATTTGATTGTAACCGAAAGAATTCATTTTCTAATATTCCAGAATATGTATTTAAATTTTGGAGAAATGGGCACCAATATACAGAAACTGATGGATGAGTTTCAGAAAACATCAAAAAATCACACCAAAGTTGAATCAATACAGGACATGAAGGTCAGTATCTAGTTATCTGAATAAACTGATATCTAGCCAATATCTAATATCCAATATCTGGCCATGGCCTTGGAGAAAGGTGTTGAGACAATACATTTCAACTATCATCCCTTATGTATCGTTATATAAAAGAGAAGAAAAAACAGAAAGGAAAAAAGGAACTATATTTTACAAGGAAAACAACTTATGTTCAAGAGGATCCTTTTTACCAGTTGCTCCTTGGCTAAACCTCTTGGTATTAATCTTTCCCAAATTATCCATGTCCATTTGAAGCCAGGTTGACTGGAATAATCTTGAAAGATGACTTACTTAAGGTCACCAGAATTTCCGACAATTTTGAAAATGATTATTTCTTGAAGTAGTTGACTTTGTAATTGTATGAACACCCATTAGTTAATATAACAGTAGGATATCTTGATTGTTTTTATGTTGATGATTGTTATCTGATTATGTGCTTTGGGTTTGGATTGTCTTAAAGGCAAAATTTATCATATCTACCTTGAAATGATATTAAGAAACCTTCTCTTCAATTACTTAGTCGGTATTACAAACTTAACACAACACATTTCACTGATAGTTATCTACTTGTTTGATGTTCTATACCGAGTTATAAGATCCAACTTTACAATTTACAAGATATCAAATTATTTTAGTTTATCAGAATATCTGTATTTATATTTGTAGAATTTTATAGAGAATTATCCCCAGTTTAAGAAGATGTCTGGTACTGTATCAAAACATGTTACAGTTGTATCGGAACTGTCTAGACAAGTTGGTTTGTATTACTTACAAGATGTATCAGAATTAGAACAAGAAATAGCCTGTCATAATGACCACTCGGCACAGCTACAGGTACAGAGTTTCTTATTTCATTAAAGATGGGTTCCCTTATTTTTATTTATGAAAATGAAAATGCTAATACTTATATGAATAGAAAGTATATGTGTTCTAATAACTTGGAAAAATAACAGTTTGTGTCACATGAGTATAGTAATTCATAATTTGCTAAATTAGAAGAGAAATACCAGCAGAATTCCAATGAGTGACCGATCAAGAAAGGTCAAAGGATTTTTTTTTTTCGTTTATCCAGACTATGCATACAGATACATTTGTAATTGGTTAAAACTCTTAATTACTTGCAATAAGAACATAACGATATGATTAAGAATACATGATAATTCATAAGAAACACCAATTAAGCAAATAGTTAGCTTAATTTGACACTAAAATAAGGAAACCAATCTTTAAATGGTATTCATATTTTCTCTATTCTAATAATCATCGTTCAGAATAATCTTTTCTACTATATTGAAACCCATCTTTAAGTCATCTAATTAATATTATTTTGTATAACCAGTTGATAGAGCTGACTTTCTGATCTGATATTACAATGAATACTGAAATATATATTAAGAGGGCAGTACCCAATGTTTTTCAGTGTCAAATAGTAATTGAACAAATTGTCAGATTTTCTTTCAGGAATGTGTTATTATACAGATAGCTTAAAAAAATGACAATTTGAAAAAACAACCTGGAACCTAATTATTGACTGAATGTTGGTAACTTAGGATTCTCAGTAATACCCAGCACTAATTCTGAGGTGTATTAAACTAGTTCTAGAGTCATGTTTTAACATCATAGTGATTCTAAGACGTCCTTGATGTTGTCTATTTTATAGAGAATAAAAAGTTTTTTTACCAATGATAAAATTCGACCGAAAGATTTATTGAGGTTGGTTATGTTATATGCCCTACGTTATGAGACACATACCAATAACGACCTAGCTGGATTAGTGGATTCGTTAAAACGTCGCGGAGTTTCAGAGGATAAAAGATCGGTAAGTTAATATATTTAAGAGAGTTTGTAATATATATTGTTCTATTGCTATAGAAAATCTTTCATTATAAATACCCCTAACCGCACGTCTTTAAACAAATATTCCAAACTTGTCTCAAAGTGTAGTAATAAGTTCTACTGGTCAAACATGAGTAGTGACACAGGCTGAATATAAGTAGGTTGTGGGTTATCTGATGATCTCTACTCACCAGACTTCAGTAGGGACACAGGTAAAAATAGGTTAGTTGTAGGAAGATCGCACAACGTGAGACTCTTGAGTAAGAACATGTTTTAGGTTCTGTTTTAATATTTCTTCGTTGAACTGTTGTACAAGCTACTTAACACTCCTGTCCTAAATGTCCATATAGCTTATTATAAATTAAGTAATTTTATTGTAGAAGTACTGAGTGTATAGATATATCTTGATTTGTCCAGTGCTTTTAAGACAGTAAGAGTAATTAGCTCAGCAATACTGAATACAATACTGAATACAATACTGAATACAATACTGAATACAATACTGAATACAAAATACAATACTCAATACAATACTCAATAAAATACTCAATACAATACTCAGTAAAAATACTGAATACAATACTCAATACAATACTCAATACAATACTTAATACAATATTGAATACAATACTGAATACAATACTGAATACATTACTGAATACAATACTGAATACAATACTGAATACAATACTCAATACAATACTCAATACAATACTTAATACAATATTGAATACAATACTGAATACAATACTGAATACATTACTGAATACAATACTGAATACAATACTTAATACAATACTTAATACAATACTGAATACAATACTGAATACAATACTAAAATACAATACATAAAATACAATACTAAATACAATACTGAATACAATACTTAATACAATACTAAATATAATACTGAATACAATACTAAATACAATACTGAATACAATTCTAAATACAATACTGAATACAATACTAAATACAATACTAAATACAATACTGAATACAATACTGAATACATTACTGAATACAATACTGAATACAATACTGAATACAATACTAAATACAATACTAAATACAATACTAAATACAATACTGAATACAATACTGAATACAATACTAAATACAATACTTAATACAATACTAAATACAATACTAAATACAATACTGAATACAATACTTAATTCTTAAAAGTTACATGTTGCTGTGGAAGAAGAGGTTGCCAATTTAAATAGCACTATGTAACTGTAGCTCAAATTGGATAAAGATGTCGGTAGCATATGAAAGAAAATACCAGCATTAAGCTTGGAATTAGTCTGACTCTTGACTGATTGAGGAGGCATCAGAACCTGCTATATGCTCTGCAATAATATAGCCTGATATCTTCTTTAGTTAGTTCATGCAGTATTAGAGTATGGAGGTAAAAGAGCTAGAGGAAGTGATTTATTTGGTAATTCTGACCCATCAGCCATTACTAAAAGAATTATGAAAGGACTGAAGGTATGATTTTATTGTTTTAATTTGTACTTAAATTAATAGAAATTATATTCACTGAATACATTTTTTGCAAAAATATCTACTTTTACCATAAAATGCCATATTTTGGTATCAGTTCTATAATATGTCTGTTGTCAAACTGAACCATAAAACTTAGTTTATTATAGATGTGAACAGTTCACTGAATATCTGGATAGTAAAATTCACTAATTGTTTGAGCAATGATCATAATTATTTTCAACTTGTTTCTCTTGATATCGTCATTAAGTAGTTTCATTTCACCAAATATTTTAGCTGCAAATTTGACTGAATCTTATACACTGAAAGATATAAAATGAACTGATGGCACAAGACCATGTGTATAATGTTATAAAATTATTTATAATCTAAGATAATATTTATGTTTTTAGGGTGTAGAGAATGTATACACTCAACATCAACCATTGTTATCCTCTACATTAGATCAGTTAATACGAGGTAAACTGAGGGAGGCTAGTTATCCTTATTTAGGTACTAGTCAACTCAAAGATAGGTGAGTTAATATAACCAGTTTTAATGCAGTCAATATACATCATGTGGGCTAGCTTGACAACAACATGCTGTCATTTATTAACAGTGTCAAAGTATTGGTCAGTTTCTTAAAAAAAACTAATTTGAAATGATTTTAATTTTCACTTGATTACACTTGATTAAACTTGATCTGAACACAATTTGAGTAAGAATTTCATTAGATCATAGATGGTAAATGAAGAAAATGTAAAAGATGAAAAAATTTTTTAGACCATGGATGGTGAAGTCACCCACGGTAAAGCATGAAACTGAACATCTAGTTATACATGCTTATCAAATCTTGGCCAGACTTGTTGATATCAAGACTGTTTAGACTAAAGTACTATTTGTCAAATCAAACAGATGGTGAAACTGTACCTGTAATATAAAGAGGCTCTATTTGATAATAACTGACAATATTTCAGACCACAAGATATAATAGTATTTATGATTGGTGGATGTACGTTTGAAGAATCTAAAGCAGTTCATATGTTAAACCGAAATACACCTGGTGTTAAAATAGTTCTTGGTGGATCCTCAATTCATAATTCTGATAGGTAATATTTTTAATTAATCTCTGCCATTGGATAAGGAATTTTAATTTGAGCCGTTTGGTTTGTTGGTAATGTTTAAATCTATCGTTGAAATCCAAGACAATGTATCCTGTTTTCAGCTGTTTTTATTAGTTCAAGTTAAAAGAATTGTAGACCTGTCATGTTTGTTCTTGAGTTTCAGGAACTACGGACATTTGTTAGAAAATCAGAATGTAACAAATAATAGTGTCTTCTATACACTTAAAGAGGCTAGAAACCTTCTCGAATCCCCTAAAACCTTGATAAAATATGAAAAAACAAATTGCACTATTACATATTTTTCTGCTACAATCACTGATTTTAATTTTTCAGTTTTTTATTGGAGTTATCTCAAGCTACAAGTGGACATCATCGACATCCAGTAAGAACTGGTAGAAGATAAATTGACACCAGTCTGTTAGTTGTTTATTGAATGGCTTCAAATTCTAAATAATCGTATGAAATACATCCTCAGATGCCCTCTATTTCTCTGTTGCATTCTGAACCAGATGAACTTTTATTACATTCTGAACCAAATGAATTTTGACCTTTTATTACATTCTGAACCAGATGAACTTTGACCGTCTACATTCTGAACCAGATGAACTTTGACCTTCTTGTGTATTTAAATAAAGTATTGTTAGTGGTTGATTAAATGGTTTCAAATTTTAAAATATCATGGTTTTTTTTGGACAACTGGCCATTGGTTTTCAATATATCAAAAATGTCTCANATATTAAATAACAAAACACAATTTAATATCAAGAGTCACATGTTTAAATTAATTTACAACATACTATTATAAACAATGAAGTGAGATTATGCTCAAAATTCCCTGTATTTTAATTTGTTTATTATATTATTATTCATTATATTATTATTCATTATATTATTTAATTACTTTAATTGTTATCCCCATCATTTAATTCTGTCACTGAAAGACGAACTTTGTCTAGTCTGCTTTGAGAAAAATGGCATGCACATGAAATTGATTTAATTCAATCGATTTTAATGTGTTTTCATCATCATGGTAACAATGGATAGTGATATTTTATGATAGTTAATCATATCTGTTGAATTCAAAGGTCATTACCATTCAGACCCAGGTACGCATTGTGTGAAACAATCTAGTCATTGCCAAGAGCCTGACCATGGTGTATGAGGCAATCAGCCATTTAAATTGCTTGTATGAGATATACATATTTTGTAGCTTTGACTGTCATTTGTATCTATTGATGACCAGTGAAACATATATTGAAATTGTACCAGTTAAGATTATATTGAAGTAATCTAAATATTGCCTTGCATTTTAGCTTCTAAATGTGAACTTGCATTTTCTAAAATCTACGAACTTGCTCATTCTGTCAAGAAAACTGATTCTTCTATGTTTTTGCTGATAAAACTAAATTGTTTATATTAATGTGAATAATATTTGATTGTACTGTATATGTACTGGTATAAATAAAGAATATCATAAATAATGGTTTTATATTGATAGCACATGAATAGGAGTGAGTTGTATTGATGTCTGCTGGGTGATAAGGTGCTCCGGCTAATTTGTTTAAGTTTTGTTGAGGGCTCTGATCGGCTGTATTTGTTGGCATACAATCCAATCATATCGCTGAATTTACAAACTGTGATTCAAGAAAAGTGGCTCTTTCAGTCAAGGTATAATACATAGTTCATAAAATCTTGACCTCATGAAAATGACATGGGAATAATAAAACACGAAATTTTCAAAACTAATATAATAATTAATAATAATAATAATTTACAAATATATGATTTATTTACATTTTGAAATTAAAGATTTCTAACAATAAATAACAACAACACTTTCATTTATCTTTTTTCTCATTGGTTCAAACAGATGTAGGGGCGGGTCTTTATATCTCATTTCTTATTGGTTAATATCAATGTGGAGGAGGAGCTAGCCTAGAATAGTCTTTACAGCTTGTATGAAAAATCCAACTGAACTTTGGCCACACCTTTGAAAATTAATTCCTTGAAGAGCCTGGATGAATGAAAAATTTCAGTGTCCACAACTCAACAAATTCCGAACCTTTAGGTTGAATTCCCTTAAAATGTCTACTAGGAACCCCTTCCACCTACACCTATGTCAAATATAACAACAACAATCATGCTTTGTCCCAATTCAGTTTGATTTCCTTGTTATTAAATATAATAATTTCTTGGCTATCTTCAAGAAAATGGTAGGCCTAATTTAGGTGTGAAAATTATCAACTGGTACCAATTAACAGCCCTTACATTACATTACAGATGAATGTTGAATTTAGGTAGATTATGGAGAACAGCCTTTTTTTATAGAAAAATAAACATATCAAGTTCAAGAGATGACTATCATACTTTTGGATTGGTCTGTATATTTATATTTATTTTGATCAGCCCTAGCTTCTTCCAGTATCTTAATAAACATATATCAAATAAAACTATAACTATAGCCTACTTAGGGAATGGTTTATAATTTTGGTTTTTCAGAAATGGTTTTGGAAATGAAATAATGGAGTTATCACTCCTGTTTAAAATATCAGAATGATCCTATCAGTACCACCTCTCTTTTCTCCAGTAGGGAAATATTACATGTATAAAGTAAAGGAAAACTATATTTCTGGAATGGTTTATAAATTTGATATTTCTAAAATGGTTTTTGAAATGAAATAATGGAGTTAACATTTCTCTTTTCTGCTCCCGATTGCTGGTGTAAAGTTTCAGAAGGTCCTATCAATACAACCTCTCTTCTTTCTCAAGCAGGAAATAAAACATTTACCGCTATGATGACTATATTTTGGAATGTTTTTTTAGTGGATTTTAAAGTATTGGAAATCAAATTTAGTTTATGAACTTTTCTACTCCTGTTTGTGTAAAGTATTGAAAAAAATTTAATGAATGGAGTTTTACGTCCTACTTTTCTGCACCATGTTGTAAAGTATTGGACCTGATGGTTATAACAGAGTACAATTGTAATTTGGTATGTGCTTTAATATCTCCCTTGTTACTATTAATAGATCACCTGACATCACAGACACAAATTCTACATCCTTGGAATGACATTAAATAAATAATTCAAAGAAAAAAATAAACGGCACAACAATTTTTGAACAATCACAACCCATTTTCCTATCCTGTATACTTCATATCACAGTTGCATGTCGTCCACTTGTTTGAAACATGCTATAGGGATGTCATTCAAAACTGACTATAACCCACTTGTTTGAAATAAGCTATAGGAATGTCATTTAAAACTGACTATAACCCGCTTGTTTGAAACAAGCTATAGGAATGTCATTTAAAACTGACTATAACCCACTTGTTTGAAACAAGTTATAGGAATGTCATTTAAAACTGACTAGGACTATAACCCATTCCAAGAGGCTTATAACAACTTTCAAACCTAGATGAAATAACTTGGATGCCCTATGAAAATTGGACCTTAAATTTAAATTTTAAGGAGCCTAGCACTTCACAGTCATTGTCCAATACAACATACACTAAGATGGCTGCCACCAGCCACAATATCCAACCCAATCTTGACCTACATGTCAATCTGAGTCAGATGGCAAGATGTAATTGTAAAACTAAAATGGTTGCCAATTTCAAGATGGTGCAGAAACAACAGAAAGACGTGATTGCTTTGGTTCGATTTCTAGTGAATGTTTATACGTCTGCTCCTCATCCAGCAGTCGACTGGGATCTAATAAATAACTCGTTACCTGAAAATAACAATTACAAAAACTTCAATATGTTGTTAAACTGATATGGAATGGAATTTTCCACAATGAAGTCTTGTCGAACAAAGCATGCAACCAAATTTTGCGGCAAAATAACAATTTAAGGGGCCTTCACATCACAGCCATCATCAGTTCGGTATGGTTTCAAAATGGTCATAAGTTTCCTACACAACTGTCATGCAACTGAGTTTTGAGTTGCCTTTGTAACTCATGGTCATGAGTCATGGTGTGAGGGCACCTTTGATCAGTAAAACTGTGTGGTTTCTATGAGAACCAACCCGTTATCCACCCTTCCTGCCTAGTGATAACTTAACTTACCCTTGGATGGTGTTCAATACGATATGATGTTTGTTGAAATAAACGAATTTCTCTTATAACATGAGCAATCTGAAAAGAAATTTTAAAAATATTGGCAACAAATAAGACAAACTCTGTACATTTTATAAAAAGATATTAAAAATATTCCAAAAACCTAGCAATTGTATCTCAGACAAGAAGCATTTTAGTGCTAGACACTATTTGTCTTTGTAAAGTATCTAACATTAGGTGAATGATGTCATTTTTGAATTTTCTTTAAACTCTACTCCTGAACTTGGACAGAATTTGTTCCAATGGCCAACATCTAAGTTTTAATACACCACAATCCTATTTTTTTATTAGATAGAGCATTGGTTCCAAATACGCCATGATGACATTGTCCTGTCTAACATCTATTAACGGGACAATACAATGATGATATGATAGGTTAACTAATTGATCCAGGGATTATGAAAAGCTATCCATGAATTCATAATGTAACACATTCACAACTTGTACATCTGAATGAGAATATACTTAAGAAGTTTTTAGTCTTAAAAATAATAAGAATGTTGAGAAGCTTGGTCAAGCCAACTTAAGATACCAGGATTGGTATTCTCGAAACAATCTTAGCGCTAGGATGTCCAAAAACTGTATTAGATATTAAGACCATAGGATGTCTTAACACTAAGATCGTTTTGAGAATACAGGGCCAGGATCATAATTTAACTCACCATTCGCATTTTAGAGAAATTGACCAAGCCTTCATCAGTAAAATTTGGTGTGCCTTCTTCTATAAATGATAAATCTGTTAAATACATTCCTAGATATGGTATACATGGTGGATCACATCTATAATTAGAAAATATTTCATTGTTATATTCACGGGATATATATCTCTTTTACTACAATTATTTAAAGCGAAATGAAATGAATGGAGTTTTACGTCCTACTCTTCTGCACCTTGTGGGCTAATGAAGACGGGCAACGCCATGCAGGGTGCCATGAGGGAAATTTTGCCAGGACAGCGGCATTAGCATGCTCTTTTTCGATTTCCAACTGGCGAGGGATCTACAACGTGCACAGCCTGTAGCACACGAGGCCTCGGTTTATTGTCCCATCCGAACGACTAGACGGTTTTTCCATGTCAGCCCCTCTTACCTGCATCACAGGGGGAAACCGGGTTGAAAAATCCGAAGGTATTATCTCGACCTATGCCGGGATTGAACCTGGACCTTCAGGTTAGCGAGCAAGCGTCTAACTCACTGAGCCACCGGGGCTCCCCAATTATTTAAAGTACAGACTAAAGACTTCATTAAGCTCAACAACAACTTGCTGTCAAAAGCAAGACAGGACATAATATCAACATGTGCTTAACAACTTAACATGGCCCAGACCAAAATTTATTAAAAGTGATAAATGTACATTCGATAAATCAAGATAAATTTTGATCATAAAATAGTTTGTGATACAACCAGCAACAATCAAATACATGTCTATAAAATTTATACAAAGCTTTATTATACCCACCAATTCATTATTTTGAATAATAAATTAAAGTAGAGGTCAATAACCAATCAATATATTCCTACCTGTGTAATGCATCTCTCATATTTTTAAATCTTCCTTCAGAGGAAACTAATGTTTGTAACTTCTCAATCATCTGTTTGGTCTATAATATATTAATACATATATGTGAGGCATTATTAACCTAAAACAGTCAAATATAAAAAACATAATTTGTATATCATATAAGCTTACCTAATTCAATAGCCAAGAACCAAAACAGTTTAATATTCATTTTGGGCTAGTCTTATTTTTAGTAAAGGCAAATATGGTTATCAACTGGAAATCAAAGGTAATAATTTTTACACCAAAATAATTTGGTCGTACCTGTTTGGAAAGCTTCTCCCATGTTTTCTTCAACCTGTAGACTGAACTGTTGACGAAGGCAGCACAGATCTGTAATACTCCATTATAATTGTGCATACAACGACAGATATCAGCAATGGCTGCCCATTTCTCTATACAGGCTACCCGATCTAACTGGGTCTGTCTACCAACAATTTCTGATACAACCAGTCGACTCACCTAGTAAAATATAAAAAAATAAGGTATTAAAAACAGAGTATTGGCATTTTTCCACCAAATTTCAGTTTTCAATTTCAATTTCAGTCAAGTTGGTAGACTTATTTACAAATTTGATCAAAAACTGTTATTTGTTTTTGAGATGTACATTGAATATATTATTTTGATGAAATAATTTGGGATTGTGTATTTACCTCATTAAATCGTTTACTAACTAGAAGTACATGTGGTGCTCTAGTAGCTTTATCTCCTTTCATCCACGCTTGACTCAGTAATTCCCTAGGATAAACAATAGAAAATATTAATAGAGGAGTACAATTTGAATGTCATTTAGAAGCTGAGAGCACATATAACATATCATTTCATCTGATGACAACATGTGTAAATTGTGTTGAAATGTTATGTAATTTGTTATATGTGTGTGTGTTATATTACTAATGGATTGAAAAAGGAATTATCTTCCTGTTTGCCTATTAAAGGAACCGATGTGCCATTTTTTCTGACCAAGCAAACTTCAGTCTCAGAGACGCCAATCAGTAATAGTGTCCACAGTTCACATATCCATGTGTGTCCAGAATTATCCATGTCTGAATGTTAAAATGACGAAATACTGCATCCCTTCCATTAAGATAAAAACCATGACAGAGACGTATATATTATTGACATAATAACAGAGATTAACACCTTCTGAACAACTACATGCTTCTTATTAATATGTCATTTAAACTGCATTGTTGACATGGAGACGAGTCAGCAAAGGGACCATCGAGTATTCTGGTACCACAGCTTCCTACAGTAATCAAGAGGTATTCAAAAAAGGCGGAAAAAATTTCATAATAACTTAAACTATTTCTGAATCAATCCTCCAGAAACAAAGTCATATACACCAAGCTATCACTGCTCCCTGCAAGAAATATCAAATTAATTCAGAAATATTACTTACTCGCTCCTGATAGACATGAATATTTGATGATCTAGATAAGTCAATTGTTCTGCTATATCTAGAGCTGACAGTGAGTCAAAATTATCTTTTGATGGTGTCTAAAATAAAAAAAGAAGATTTCTTAACAATCTCATGAATCCAGTGTCATCACAATTGAATGCATACTGCTGTCTCTATCATCAAGATGTCATATCAAGCTCTTGTTGTATGTTTCTCATAAATATTTCAAGATAACAGAAGTATTTGATATCTATCATTTATGTGAAGGTTTTTACTCACTTTTTACACCACACACATCAATACCAAAAGATCTTTCTCAGGATTTTTTTTTAGAACAAGACAATTGCCTTGCAGGGACAAGTAAAGTAACTACACTTTGAACTATCTTATTTCCCCTTGAGAATATTATTGCAGTGTGCACAGACAATCATTGAAAATACTACTGACCCTATGAGTAAGCAACCAGCTGAGATATACCTGACCCTGAGTATCACTTACTGAAGTGTGCTGTAAGAGTTTTTCCAGGTCCACTTTCTTATTGTCTGAGGTATCTTTAGTAATAGTACGCAGTATAGAGGCTGCAGCTTTATGTTCTGCTGGTAGTAGATTGGTATTACACACCATTTCCTCCAGTAGATCTATTACAGCAGACTTTAATACCAGGTTTAAATCAAAGTCCTGTAGGAGATATAATACATGGTTAGGGTTATCTTAAGGGGGCTTTGAACCTAAAGCACCTAATTGCCTAAAAGACGACAATCTAACTTGCTATAGACTGAACTATTGAAGGTAAATCAAGTGAAATATCCTACTCTGAACATGAATTGATCTAATGAATAGAAATGAAAATTTCAAACCTACAATTTTCTAATTAAACAACTGGGGATTGAGTATTAAGTCTTGCAGCTTTTCCGAAACAAGAAAATGACCACTAACATGAAATATTGAATTGAAGAATATCTTGGTCTAATTTAACATTATCAAGGATGATGATTGTGCTCATGGTATGGACTATTTTTTGTTTTTATCCAACTCTCTATGTCCATTGAATTCAAAGTTTGCGAACATCAGAGTAAAAAGTGGCAATTGAAAAAAACAAATTGTGTACGTCTAAATAAAGCTCACAACAATGACACTTGATAACAATAATACAAACAACACTTAAAACTGATAATTTCAGCATTTTTTTGAATGTCTTATTTGTGGTTGTTTTTATCAATTTTCAAAAACTTTCCAAAAATTAAGAAATGCATCACCTCTGGGAATTTGACAGTCCAATTTTTGAGAATGTTAATTGCTCTCATGGTAGCAGCAGAACCAATATTCTTATTATGACCATTCTGAGTAGAGTGAGGTGGTTCTGGTATGGTTTTTAATGCTGAACAAAATGCATCAAATACAACATTTATTTAAGAATTAAAATAAAATTTAGCAAGGAATATAATCATCTCATTTAATACTTTTCTCATCTGATAAAACTAAACTCAGACATCTGAAAGCCCATAAAAATGACTAAAATCTTAGCAAAATGGGAAAAAGTGACGATTTATATAATAGTGTAAAGCAGAATTCAAACTGAACATTGTGGTGAGTTAAATATTAAAAATCAGACTAATATATCTGTATATCAATGGGAGACATGATTTTGAACAATTTTTTGGTGCAGACTTCTCCTTTAAAAAGTAGTAGTCCTAGTATCTGACTTATGAATGGCTTTGAAAGGAAAGTTTTTTCTTTTATTTTAACTGAGAAGAGTGCTAAGAACATCTGAAATTCATAGTAATGGGCAGCTAAATTTAAGTTCTATCTGCTGGAAAAGTAAAAATACAGGCCCGGTATTCTCAAAAAATGATCTTAGCACTAGGACGTCCTAAAAACATTATTAGAAATTAAGGCACCAGATCATCCTAGCAAGTTCATTACGAGAATACAGGGACAGATGATTATATCCCTCAAAACATATTGTAACAACATTCAATGTTAAACATAATAATTATTAATTCTGATGACATGGTTATATATTTGTTATACTACAAGTTATTTAGGAATCATATAAACCTTGATCCAAAATATGATTTTAGATTTAAACATTTCAAATTGGACAAGGGTGAGATTCATGGACATGTACAACACGATGGTGATGGTATATTTGTCTTTCAAAACAGTGATTGGTTGCTCTGTATCAGACGTATTTGTTTTTAACCAATCAGATTGTGTAACACAATGATAACCATGGAAACAGATACATCATAAAACAACATAAAGCAACATCAACAACTATGACAGTACAATATCTAGAACGAGGCTATTCAACTGACAAGTTTGTTATTCTGTTAATAATTCTTCATACATCCTAACTCTTATTGATAATTAGCCACAGTTCATAAATTCCCTTGTAAATCTGATTTAAGAAAAACCTGGGAGTTTACACAGATCTTCTTCACGTATTTTAAAATATTTTTAACAGTCTAAAAGCAAAGTTCAAGCTGAATTTGGTCTTGAAAAAATTGTGAAAACCAGACAGGTTATGGAAAAGTTCATGAATCAAGGATTACCCTCTCAATTGAGATCAATGGAAAATACCGAAATTCTCTTCACAATATGAAAATAGATTGATATATTATTGGCCATCAGGAGGTAAGAATTTCTCATAATTAAGCTCAATTAAATGTTTACTGATGAGTTATTTAAAGGATGTAAGAAGATTATCAAAGAATTTAAAAACAAACTTGCTAGTCAGATCAAGGCAGGAAATAAGGTGACCTGACACCCCTATATGTAATTATGAACTATTCCGCACATGCATATCTTCCATCAATATAATGTATTGTTTAGCATGATAGGAAAAGTTCATTCATGAAAAAGGGGTATTTTGTGGCTTGTTAACTTATTTCCAGCCTGGTCTGTGAATGTACCTGTTGATGTTTGGACACCCAATGTTTTAATATATTGAGTACTCTCATGGTAGCCGCTGTACTAATGACTGATTCACGTTTCTTAGCAGGTCTATCTGTACCTTGAGTGGGAGAAAATTTATTTCAATTTGCTAAACATTCTGATCATAATTGATGATAAGAGCAAAAGGAACACAAATAAAATGGATACATTTTGTTACTTGGAAAAAATTTATTCACATTAACTATGAAGCCTCCAGAATACAAGTAAAGGGCTTAGTGTCCAATTTTCAAAAAAATTGTCTCACACATACAACATACCTAGCAAGCAATGCTAATCTGGTCCAGGTCTGGTTGATAAGTATTGCTAGCTGGTTAGCGTTGAATTTATATCTCAAGACAACAAGTATAAAAACTATAATTTTATATAAATATTCAAACTGACCTGGTCCAACACTGAGAAATCTGTTGACGTTTTTAGGGTTAACATCTGGTGAATAGTTGGCTAGTCCTGCTGTAGCAGCAGCAAATGCTGTGGTTGCTGCAGATGAACTTGACCTACATAATAAGGAATATGATAATATGAAATCAATTCTATATTGTTTCATGTGCTCATGGATGTGTAAGCTGGCATGAAGACTGCTTGCAGACTGGGATGGATCCATTGCAATGGCGGCATCAGGCTCCTGGAACTAAGGGCACAAATTTGGGAAGACTGACTTAATTGAGATTTCAAATATGGAAGCCTGAACCTCCTCTTCTGACGCTGGCACTCTTCCATTGTAGTTGTAGTGAAATGTGTTAAATTGTCAAAATGGCCAGGTTGATGAGAAAAGTGAGAGATTATGGCTCATGCAGAGACTTTGTTCTTCTTTAAAAATGTCTCTGCCCCTCGGAGGGTCTATCCATATATAGTGTTAATGCACTGATATCTGACTTTAGGCTTGTTAGCCTTCTGGGTCTAAGTTACCCCAAGATTGGGAATAAAAGACCATATTGTTTAAAAGACAACCACAAAGTATGAAAAATGTAAACAATTTAAGAGTAAGAATGTCAAGAAAATTTACGTCAAAAAACCACTAGTAACTGAAAATATCTAAACTTTGAAAAGAGCAAGCTAAAGACTATGTTCTAATCTACCCATGCAAAGAAAAATCTTGGAGTCAAAGTCATCAAATTAAAATCAAATAAAAGTTGAAATTGAAAAAGGATAAGATTCAAAGAGAATTCCCGAGGGGGGAACCCCAGGTTCAAATCCATCCTGAGAAATAGGAAATAAAAAAACTAACAAACCGTAGACCTTTTACATCACCATGACAACAGTAGAATGCACAAAATACTAGGAAACAACGACAATATCTTACCCATACCTTCTTTTAGATGCTCGCGATGAGGTCACCACTGCACCTGCTTTAGCATGAGGTGGGGAACCTTCAACTTGAGCAAAGCTACCTCTAGGACTAGAGATGTTGATAGATTCGGCTTCAGCACTGCCACGTTTACCTGAAACTGACAGGATTAAACAATTTCATTTCAGTTATAAAAAAAGGGATGAATCCAAATCAATAATCATGCACACCATGTAAAGCTCTAAGGCTAAGTTAAGTTTTGCATCCTTTGAAAAATGAAACAGACTGCCAGATGAAAGATAAATTTTGAAAAGAGAGTGTAGGAAAAGGCATTGTCAAAATGTTTTTCTGTTTCACAGTAAATCTTTGTTGCACTAAGCTTATTACTCTTTAAGAGTTGACTATTCAACTTACATGGTTTTATTTTGATTTGTGGTGCTATGATATTTGGTGAAGAATAACTGTAACTGATAGGAGACGGAGCTCGACGTAGTTTTGGACTAACTGATGGAGATCTAGAACGAGAGGTTTTAGGTGAAGATCCCTGCTTTGGTGATGTGGATCGAAATTTAGGTGAGGGTACACGTATTGGAGATGAAGTTGGCAGAGGTTTGATCACTCGTATTGGACTGCTTGATGGAGATAGAGTTAATGTTTCCAAACTAACTGGTTGTACATCTGACATCTTACAGGGTGTTGATGGACTCCTTGGCCGACCTTTATTACCATTCTGTTTCAAATTAAATTTGATTTTCTTTGGACTACCGAGTGGTGAAGGTATGGGACTAACTTGAGGTGTGCCTGGAGTCAAAGTATCCGAACTTGCAGCAGAACTTAACGTGTAATGACTAGTTCGCATCAACGTCTCGTTAAAATCTGACGGTGCTCCTGATATTATTAACGGAGGTGCCAGTTTGCCCTCAGTGTCACTATCACACGTATCAACAGACGACTCTCCAACATCAAAATCCGATAAAACTACCCCTGAAGATGTGGTAGATGAATCTTCCATGGTAATTGAAGGAACATCAGGTATTTCATGGTCGTAAAGAGTCTCACAAGAAGCTATAGGTGCTAGTTTAGGTTTTGGAGGTATGAGATATGTAGATAATTCTGAACGACTATCATCGCTATCAACAGATTCTCCTCGTTCAACTGAAAAACAAATGGAATAGAGTTGTACAGATGTTAGCCTCTTCCCTGTTCTCTTTGATGTGCCAAGAACATATTATACACGTATATCAATATATACATAAAAAAAAAACACACAAGAAGAATGTGAAACATATTCTATACTATTGTCCAGTCCATGCTCAATCTAGTTTAATGCTAACAGTAATGTATAAGGAAATCTGGAAATAAGAAAATAGACAGATAAATTTCTATCCAGAACAGTCAACATTTTTATCATCTGAATTCTTCATTTCATGTTTTTTTCTGCAGGTTACTACACTTTCCATGGATTTGTCAAAAGCATGAAAAGTTTAATTTTGAAAGAGTCTTTTAACCAGATTTCATCAACCACTAATCTTACTTTTTGTGCCGTGGAAGCCCCCAAGAGGAAGTCTGTCTATAGCTTGAGAATCATTCATACAGCCAGTACTGATACGTCGAAACTTCTCAGCTTGTGGTTTGATAACATACTTAGAATCCACTTCTGGTGGTTCACCAGTAAAATCTGTATGAGGTGGACTCCCTTCTTCAGCATCAGATAAGGATCTGTTATAAAATATATCTAATATTAGAACAGAAACTTTCCTTCTTGCAATTTCTAAATAGTGAGAATTATATTATATTTCACTATGATGAATTAAGAGTGGTTAAACTTCAATATAAAAGGGGATTGTATTTAACTTGACTCAATATTGAGAGGTGAATTTTGTTTGATGAACTTTATTTGATTTTTAAAAAATTTTCCACATGACATAATGCTTTTAGACCATTATATAGATATTTCAACATATACCACTTAAATCAAGGAATATTTCCACTTTAACCCTACAATGTGACTTAATCATGTATATATCTCATCTTCCAAACTGAATATATGTCTAAATATTGACCTTCTACTGTTAATTCCTGCTGTTTTATCACAATTTGCTATATTCATAGTAAGATACAGATTCATCTTGATTGATGAAATTGTTGGAAGTTCTAGATAGACCATATAAAACGTATCTAGATGATCACATTACAGAATATAAGTCACTATCAAAAAACATAACTTACTGTACAGAGCACATACTGGAGTCTATATTAGTAGCTTCAGGGTTTTTATACACACGTTTTAACGCCTCTAACAAAGTTTGACCAGTGGTGAATACACGGTATGTTAATAGGAATGTATTTAAAAAATCGATGCTAAGAAACCTCAAATCAGTTAGTCTATCTAGCAGTCTCTCTACACTAGCATGCCGGATCTACAATACAATTATATAGAGAGAGAATGAATCAACTGCAGTGCCTTTGCTTCCATCTAAGGTAATGAAGCAAAAGAGCATGCTGAAATTTGAAACATAAATACGATATGTCTACAAAAAAAGTTGACACTGTTCGCAGTCTACCCATACCCATTGTCAAAAAGTTTTTGCAAATCAGCCCATAGAATAAAAATATCATAAAACAATAAAAATTAACCGATATCATTTGAAACAAATCAAAGTATTTGCAAATTATCTGCCAAAATCCAGTTTTTTAATCAAATTTTTGAAAATTCATTTAACATGTTGTTAAATGCTGAACATATAGAACTCCATAAAACATAGTACAAATAAACAGGAAATTTTCATAATAATTGATGAATCATGTCCACTGACAATGAAGAGTATTATCTCCCTTTGTGGCATAAAACAATGCAATATCACATGTAACATTTATTTCACAAGCATGGTAGCTTTAATTAATACATTCTAATGAGATTGTTTTAATACATTGCATTCTTTTTAATAATTCTAACAAGAGACCTAGAAAGCAAATGAAAGCAATTTTACTTTACTGTGGTCTAGAAATTGTGTGGTTTTCACCATGATTACCAAATCAGATTATTATCAAATCATTATATTGATTATAAAAGTGAGTTATTTCCCTTGGTAGCAATGTCTCTGATTGCATCAAATTGATACTTTGAATGTTTGGATAATTTGGGCTATTCCTAAATCAAGTTTGAACTATTACCTGTGGAACCTTGCATGAATTGAGAGTTCGACTAAACTTGATATCGACATCATCTCGAAACAGTTTGGGATCTGACCTAAAATTATAATCAAAGATGAAAATAAATACATGTTAGATAGTATCATCTTACGTTGATATTTGTGCACATCTACAATGATTTTGTCTATGGGAATTGTGCTAGTAGTTAGCCGTTATTTCAAATCTTTGTAAAATAAAGTAAAGCTATGTGCATAATATTCCTATTCAACTATATTTATAAATCTTTTTCTGCAGTGACGAGGCTAATACAGGTGGCTATAAAGGAACATAATTATAATATGGTACATTACAGACCACAATTACTTTTGTTTGTAGTGACAATACGACAAATTATAAGCGTTAAAGGCAATATCAATGAAATGCAGCCAAAAACATTTAGTAGACTACACTTTTTAATATTTTAGTGTGAAATCCCAGTTGTCTGAAGATCACAAAGAAAACGCTATATCATGGACAAATAATTCTTCACTGACTCGCGGAACCTTTAAAATCATCCAAACCATGTGCTACCTATAATACTAACAAACTGATGCTGTGCAAGTAATAAAATAGAATTAAATGGTAAAAATAGGAAGAAAGCTATCCCTTCACAGAGTTAGTAGGGGGGGTTATCAAAGGGAGTTAAAGGTTAATGTAATAAAAATGAAATGAGTTTATATTACGCTTAAAATGAACATGCTTGTCACTATCCCATAATATTAAAAGGTCTAAGGTTATCTTATTAGAATAAAGAGTTGGAAAGGCCATACATAATTTCCTTCACAACTTGAATAATACAAGAAATAATTCAAAACTATTCTCTCAGCAAACTTCAAGGTTGGTGCTATCAGTTGAATGTTTTTGTTTAATTTACTATTGGAGGTAAATATCAGAATATGAACTGATAATGTAAATGTTTTCAAGACAATCACAAAAAATACTGCAGAGAATGCAATGAAAATAGACAAGGGAAATTAATGGGTTAGTGACAAGGCAATAAAGAATGAGAATAATTAAAAAAATTTATAAAAAAGGAAGAGGAAAAGAAGAATTATTGGATGATGTTAGGTGACAGCTATATGCTACTACTGGTTAAGGACAAAATAGGCAAAGAATTTAACTACAAGGGGAATAACTCTAGTCTACTAGATGACTCACCAGATCTCACTACTGTGTATGTATCTGTAACATGTTACAAATAATAAATTCCTGAGCAACTATTTACTAATTCCCCCCACAAATTCCTGTGACTATTTTTCTTATTTCCCTAAAAATGCCCATGACATTATAGACTAATTTTCCCTAGAAATTTCAATGTAACTATGTATTTATTCCCCCAGAATGTCCCATGTAACTGTTTACTAATTCCCCCAATAAAATCTCATGTGATTATTTACTAAATTCCCCACAAATTCTAATGGGATAATTTACAAATTTCCTCAAAAAGTCCCATGCTTTTTACTAATTTCCCTACAAATTCATGTGACTACTGACTAATTTTCCACAAAAAATCCCATGTATCTATTAACTGCTTAATAATTCCCTCAATACTTTTAGTATCTATTAAATCTTTCCATGAAGTTCCATTTGACTATTTACTGATCCCCCTTCTCCACAAATTTCCATGTGTTTATTTACTAATTCCTTTGTGATTATTACTAATTCCCTCCCAAATTCCAATGCAATCATTACTGATTTCCCCCACAAAATGATTATCATTCCCCCAACAAATTCCTATGCAATTATTCATTTATTCCCCGCACAAATTTCTGTATGTTTATTTACTAATTCCCCCCATAAGTTACTGGCTATTATTTTCTTATTTCCTCCACAAATTCTTTACTGATTTAAGTCTTCCCCATAAATTTCTCTTTGATCATTTGGAAATGAAAGTAAATCAAATGGTCCAAAATTCACGTGAATTTTAATTAATACATTAAAATTTTCTACTACTTTTGAATTGCTGGGGGTCTAAGTCTTCTTCAACACAGGTCAAGGGAAACAAGGGAAAGAAATACCAAGGAAATGCCAAGAGACCTTTTATTTGCACTGAAAAGGAATGCCTGAAAATTCCAACATAGCACAAAATAGGGAGGAATCCTGAAAGGAGAGGGATCTGATTATCCAATAATCCTGCAAAATTCTTCTTTTGATTTTGCTGCAGTAGGTAAGGTTTTACTGTGAAATTTTTGTTCAAGTTGTGTTTATTTACACCAAACAGAAAGCAAAGGAGTCTGTAGACAAAAATCATATCATCAATATGGCGTCTGAGAATAGCAACTAAATATAACTGGGCCTAGCTCTATATCCTACTGTGGTGAAGAGATAGAGAGAGAGTAGAAATTGAGAGATAAAAGGAATGAATGATGACATACCGTACAGACTGTGGCATTGTGACAGAGGACGATTCACTCATTGAGCTGTTGAGGAGATCACTATACTGTAAATTTTCTATACACTGAAAAATAAAACAGGTGAAAGTCATTCAAAATGTTTTCTAGCCTTAATATTAGTATATAGGATACGGATAACTTCCTTTTGTACCATTTCTTTTTCAATTTCCGTTGTTCCAGAAACACTTGATCAGCTTAAGACTCCTCAGTTGCAAATTCTATCATGGTATGTTCATCAGTGACTAGCTAGAATTTAAATTTGCATCAAAAGGTGGGGGAGGGGACATCGTTTATCGGCGTTACAGATAAACAGTGTGGGAGAACAGGGAGGTTGTCAAGTATTTCTCTGTAAGCTTAGAACAAAACTCTGGTTTTAGGTACAACAGCTGAATTTTTTGAAGGCAAAAGTTCTCTTCCCTTTTGGCCACCATATGGGTTTGATAAGAGATGAAAGGGAGGGGGGGAGATCATGTCAGTCTTTTTACTCACCTGACTGATATCACTACACCACGCAGCCTTTTCATGTAGAGTAGAGGCTACAAGACTGATGGTAATGGGGGGCCCACTTTTAGAATCAATTATAATACGGAAATCTAAACCATTATAATAATCAGCCTTAACATCCTTATCTAACGGAGCTTGCAGTAAATTAGCAGCAGAATTCTGACTTCCAATACTTAGATTTGAATCTAAAGATGATGCTGTAAACAAAAATAAAAAAGGTTTGAATGACAGTGGCGGAGCCAAGTTTACGTCCGAGGGGGGGGGGGGATTTTGCCAGAAAAACTTGCTTTCAGGGCTGTGAGCCGGGGTGAAATATATGCATAAAGAATTATAATTGTTTGTTATGATAATGGGGACTTTCAGTCTGAATCTACCTGCTCCTATCCTAATCTGATGCTGTCAAAAAAATAAATAAAGTGTCTTTAAGGTGAGAAAAAGGTTGGATGCTATATATTATCATGATATTATATTTTTATCGTTTTGATTTAGAATAAAGATATATATCCATTTCCATCTGTCAAGAAAATAGGGAAAATCCAACTTCAATTTTTTCCATGTAATGCACCCTCACTGAACTCAGACTACATTGGCAGCTAGAAATAGGGCCAAGAAATCACACAGTTCTCAAATCTTCGGAGTTTCAAGACAAACTTAATAAAGTATCTAATTAAAAAGTGTGACTTACTTTCCTCATCAAAGAAAAATATATCTGAATTTGGATCTTCTATTAATGTACAATCTATCAATGATATTTTACCGTAGTGCTGAAAAATCAAATAATAAATATCAAATTCCAGAGAAATACAAGAGAATGAAATGGATTTTACAACCCTTTTTCTGATTCTAAATAGGCTGATGAAGACAAAACATTACCATGCAGTGTGCAATGAAGAAAATTCTTCCACGAAAAGAGCATTAGCCTCCTTTTTGTTTCATATCAGGCCACATATTCTCGAAAACGATTTTAGCGCTAGGATGTCCTAGATTCTTATCTTCTAACATTGATTCTAGGAAATCCTAGCGCTATGATCGTTTCGAGAATACATGGCCCGAATTCTACAGTTTCGATCTCAGGCCCTCTGAACTGTTTCACTGATTGAAGCAAGAAAAGATAAAAAAATCTAAATAGGTCGGCTACATCCAGTTGAAATTGTATGACAATAAAATACATACAACAGATATAAGCTTGAAACATCCAAAGTGACAAATAACAACGAATTGCCAAATCAAAGATCACTTGTAGAGCTACTTAATAAAACAGCACTATGTAAACCCAAAATCTGTACAAATGTTAACAAAACACAACTCAGCATGTTTGTGGCAGTCAGTAATCAATGTGTCTGAAGGTATAACAATAACTAGGTGAATACTGAGAACACCTGTCCAATCTGTGATAATCAATTCATAATCCAACCAATGGCAACAGGTGGAAATTTTGTGACAGGAAATTAAAAGCATACATATTACAAATATTATAACTCTAAATGATTAGAGGTTATTTAATTTTGAGAATCGAAGCAGATTTTTATCAAGGGACAGATTTACCATTTTGGGGGGTTGATTTGGGTCTTGATTATATTTAAATAGTAAAAAAAAATACTACTAAAAAATTACAGAAATCACATAATTCCCTTCAAAATTATCTCAAACTAGGAATTTCATTTTCAATTGCTATATATATGCCTTTACTATATATGGCAGAGTTTCAGGAAAAGACAAGTCAACTTTCAAATATGGTTAATACTTGACACATGAATTTGAGGGATAAAATTTCAACAGTGGGCTGTGAACTCTTTTACTGATTATTAGCTTATCTAAAAAAAAATCCCCTATTCTGAGACTAAGGTATGATTGGTCAAACGGATGGCGAATCTGTCCCTTTAATGGGGTCAGTATTAGGACCTATATATCCAACAATCCTATCTAACACTGTAGTAGTAAACTATAGCAAGGTTTAGGTTATCAAAAATCATACATCTTAAACTACATATAAAGTGCTAATAAATGTCTGTTATTGAGAATTTTACAGTTGACCAAGAAAGCCTATTAATCAACATCAATTATAGATTTCAATGATTTTTACAATCCGGGGCATGTCTATTAGTATCTGACCGAGATATTCAGGGCTAGTAATGGTCTGTGTAATAATATATGTAGGTCTATTACTATTTCTTTGGACATTAATTAAGGGACAAGACATATAGAACTGTAGCAAGACAAACAATGACAAATATTACTAACATTGGTTCCTATTTTCAATGACAATCCTGTAAACCATTCCTTTGTGTTGATATATAATCATAATTCCTTTGTCTGAGAGCTAGAGACTATAAAATGATAAAATGATTGATAAAAATGAAGTAAAATTTGACTTTACCTTGGCTAAATGCAGTCGACCATTAGAAGCTCTGTGTGTTAGCAGCATGTGATTAGTGAACAAAAAGACTTGACGTACTATTTCTTTTTTGGACTCCTTAAATGAAGAGCTAAAAGATCCTAGACGCCCTCGATTCGATTTTCCTTTTTCATTGAGCACTTGTAAGAGAGGACCTGAAGAAAAAATAGAATTATCATGTCCTATTATAGAACATACAATATGGCTTGCAATTGACTCCAACACGGAGCATGTGCAGAGATACTAGAGACCTCTACAGTTTTTAAACATTTGTTATGAATTTTACATGAAAATTCTCCTATTTTCTACAATGAGAATGTTTATAAATAAATAATATGAGAGACAATAACCTGAGTATAACACTATATCAATTAAATTACCACTATACCGCTTACAGTGTTAATAATGGTGGAATAAGCAGCAAATACACAAACTAAATAATCAATACTATTCAAGCAGGCAGTCTGGTCAGCCATTGGCTGTAATTACAAGATTTCTTTTAGCATTTAACCTTCCAGTTATATTGACCAATTCCATCGAGTTATTTATAGCAATGTGTGCACGATTCATACAACAATGGAATAGAATGCAAATAGTAAAGACAGGCTATAATAGTTTGAGTTACAACAGTGGATATTGATATTAATTCCACACTAGTTCAGTGTAGAGTTCGATCATTTCTCTATGATATGAGGCAATGTTTAAGCCATCTTGAAACACAGCAGTAAACAAAATCAATATCCTACACGACTGTGAGAATATTGATAGAATGGCATTATCATAATTCTTGAATACAGCCTTCACACTTTACAATAATGTTTACTATGAATATATTACAAAACTTATATTAAAATTCTTCATATATATTAATTTATAACTTATTATATTTCATATACTTTGTTCATTTGAATATTCTTTTTCATATTTTGTAATTATACAAGTATTCTATAATATATTCTAAAACTCTCACAAAAGTTAATTGAGATATTTAAATGTTCTATTATAGATCAGACTATTAGACATTATTTTTTTAATAATTTGCATAAACATATGATATTTTTCAAACAAAAAATGCAAATTTGACTGAAAAATTTCAAAGTAATATTGAAATAATCTATTTTTGTGCAATTAGTTTTCATATATATATATTTTTAAAGAGTAACTTATATTAATGTTATACAAATTCAACTGGATATTATATAGGTAATACATGTATAATTTACTTTACTTATAAATTATTTTCAGTATTTTGCAAATATTCATAACATATTTATACATTGTCACAAAAATTTGATTTGAAATATCTTCATAAAATATTTACACTGAAAAATATTTTTACAATTTATGTAGCCTACATCTACAAAAAAATTAATTGAAATATTTCCATGTAATATGATAAATAATACTTAATTATACTTATTCATTTTATTAAAATATCTTAGAAATTACTCTTAATATATTTAGACAGTAATAAACATTGAATTTAAAATATTTTCATGGTTATTTTTAAATAATATCTTTATTGAATATTTTAAATCATACCCAATATCAAATAATTGGAACAAGTAATTGAATATTTTCATTTAGGCTAATATATGCATAATTCTGATAAATTTTTCTCGCCGCAGTTACATGGATGTAATATATCTATCAATATTCATAAATATCAATTATACCATGTTCAAATTCCATTTGATCTTTTCATTGTATAAATGGATGGGTCTGGTTTAGATGTGCTATAACTAGTTTAAATGCAGTGGTGTATTAAAGGGTTAGGGTTAGTGGGAATGCTGCCATGTTTCTATGAAGCATTGGCTGGACGAAGGGGAGAGAGCGAGGAGGGGTCACAGCAATCTAATTAAAATCAGACCAACCTTTAAATCTGTTTTATTAACTTTTATTGTTAATTTAATGCCTCTTGAACATTCGTCAAATTAACCTTTTGATCTAACTCTCTAGTGCTGTCATTTTGTGATGTGATGTTTATCAGGTTAGGTCAAAAGGTTTATTTGATGAATCTTCAAGAGGGATGTCATTAGACCCTAAATGAAGCAGCTATATTTAGAATTAAAGCAAATAAAAAACCTTAATGAAAGTTTAGTGTAAAACAGGCATTTAAAACTCATTGATAAGGACTATCTGCCCCCTCCTGGCACCCTGTAGAAACATGACTGTCTACCTTTTAGATTGAAAATCAGGGCTTAAGATTCATCTGATGATCAAGGTTTTGAGATATTGAAGTACACACATCTCTGTAGAGCCAGCACAACTTCCAAATGTAATTTCATGCAAGTAATGTATAGTAAATAGAAAAAATCGATTAATTGATGCCAGTCAAAGTTAACGTAATTTTATGCATGTCCTGCATAGTAAAATAATAATAATAATAAACTCTTTAATTTACGTGGGTCAGAATTAGGCTCAATACACAAGGACATGGTCCAGTCTAACATTCAGCCCATATAACATTCAGTCCATAAAAAAAGGAGAAAGAGAAGAGTTTAGCATTTCAAAAATTGATGCCAGTGAAAGTAAATATAATCCATAGAAGTCCTGCATAGTGGAATAGAAAATCAAGCCTATAAAGAATTGATGCCAGTGAAAATGTGCTAATAAGCATGCTCCAATTCCTCTTACTCTACTGACACACATTAAATAATATTAATAAACTCTACTGTAATTTCATGAGTTATTTGCTTGAGCAACCATTTAATTTCATTGTAGAGACTCCATTAATTGGGTTTGATATTCTTTTGTTGTACAAATTTATTTGTAGATGACCTGACATACAGTGGTGGCCCTGGACTTCTAGAATTTAGGTTTTAAATAGATGGCAGACTGTCTTTATGGGAGGACAACTGTCGGGTTGAGATTCCAAATGCCGAATCGCTGTGTAAGCAGCATGGTTTAAGTTCCTATGAATGGTCTCAAACAGAAAATTTTGGAGAAATAGAAATTGATTAAGTGCATTCTGCCACACATTTTGCCACACATTTTGGGCAAAAAGAGTCAAAATTTCATTTTATAATTTCTCAGGAATGAAATGGTACTAAACAAATTTTCTTTTTGCCCTCCCTGTACCCCCACTGTCACTTTACTTATCCAGTTCTTTTGTATAGTGTGCTTTAATTATGAAATGTTTTTGTATGGTGTGCTTTAATTATGGAATGTTTATGTATAGTGTGCTTTAATTATGGAATGTTTTTGTATAGTGAGCTTTAATTATGGAATGTTTTTGTATAGTGTGCTTTAATTATGGAATGTTTTTGTATAGTGTGCTTTAATTATGGAATGTTTTGTATAGTGTGCTTTAATTATGGAATGTTTTTGTATAGTGAGCTTTAATTATGGAATGTTTTTGTATAGTGTGCTTTAATTATGGAATGTTTATGTATAGTGTGCTTTAATTATGGAATGTTTTTGTATAGTGTGCTTTAATTATGAAATGTTTTTGTATAGTGTGCTTTAATTATTGAATGTTTTTGTATAGTGAGCTTTAATTATAGAATGTTTTTGTATAGTGTGCTTTAATTATGAAATGTTTTTGTATAGTGAGCTTTAATTATGAAATGTTTTTGTATAGTGAGCTTTAATTATGAAATGTTTTTGTATAGTGTGCTTTAATTATGAAATGTTTTTGTATAGTGAGCTTTAATTATTGAATGTTTTTGTTTAGTGAGCTTTAATTATAGAATGTTTTTGTATAGTGTGCTTTAATTATGGAATGTTTTTGTATAGTGTGCTTTAATTATGAAATGTTTTTGTATAGTGAGCTTTAATTATGGAATGTTTTTGTATAGTGTGCTTTAATTATGAAATGTTTTTGTATGGTGTGCTTTAATTATGGAATGTTTTTGTATAGTGTGCTTTAATTATGAAATGTTTTTGTATGGTGTGCTTTAATTATGGAATGTTTTTGTATAGTGAGCTTTAATTATGAAATGTTTTTGTATAGTGAGCTTTAATTATGAAATGTTTTTGTATAGTGTGCTTTAATTATGAAATGTTTTTGTATGGTGTGCTTTAATTATGGAATGTTTTTGTATAGTGTGCTTTAATTATGAAATGTTTTTGAATAGTGTGCTTTAATTATGGAATGTTTATGTATAGTGAGCTTTAATTATGGAATGTTTATGTATAGTGAGCTTTAATTATGAAATGTTTTTGTATAGTGAGCTTTAATTATGAAATGTTTTTGTATAGTGTGCTTTAATTATGGAATGTTTTTGTATGGTGTGCTTTAATTATGGAATGTTTTTGTATAGTGTGCATTAATTATAGAATGTTTTTGTAACAGGGTAGTGAAATATGAATTAGGTACATCAGTTGACAAAGAAAATATTTTGAAAGTAAATATCCTTTTTGTATTGGCATCTAAAAGAAATGAGTTTCATATTCTACTTTTCTGTACCATAGTAGGCAACACCATGTAGTATGCAATAAGGGAAATTTGACTAGGACAGTTGCATGAGTTTACTCTTCATGATTTATATCTGATCTTCAGCCTGTAGCATACAGGGCTCGATTTTAATGTTCCTTCTAAATGACTCGCTCCTCCAAACTGCATCACTGACAGACATAAACCAGGTTGAAAATCTGATAGTATTATTTCAACCTTAACCCTGGTCCTTCAGGTTAACCAGCAAGTTTTAGCTCACTGAGCCACCACAGCTCTCTCCTTGCACAAAAAAATGCTGTTAGTTCATCAGCAGATGAAATCCTATGCTGAACATCTCATGAATTGATGCCAGTGAAAATTGAATATAAAAATCCCATGCAAGTACTGCATAGTGATCATAATAATAATAATAATAAACTCTTTAATTTACGTGGGTCAGAATTAGGCTCAATACACAAGGACATGGTCCAGTCTAACATTCAGCCCATACAACATTCAGTCCATAAAAAAAAGAGAAAGAGAAGAGTCAGGTATCTCAAAAATTGATGCCAGTCAAAATAAATGTAACTCTATGCATGTTCTGCATAGTAAAAAGAAGAGTCAAGCATAACAAGAATTAATGCCCGTCAAACAGTAGATGAAATACCATACAAGTACTGCATAGTAAAATAGAAATGTCTAACATCAAGCACTCCAGCTTAGAGAAATAGTGAATAATAAACTTGTAAAAGTATAAGAGATATAATCAATATATGTGACAATTTCTAGTGTAGACAAGAGCTAGCTGATAGTATAGATAGAATAATAGAATCCAGACCTTCAGATCACGACTGACTAAAATAGAACTCCACTAGCTATTTTAAGCTTCATATTGATTATTATCTTACACTCTGTAGTCTCCTATATCTCATTATAATATTGACTTTTAAATAATACATTATCAACAACAACAACAACATGAGCACTACTGATAGCATTGCAGTCATGGTAATGTATGCTAACATTGTCCCTCCTTAATGTTAATGGTAACATACACCAACAGTGCTGATCTCTAATTGCAATGGTAATGTTTGTCACCAACTTTACTGCTGATAGTAGGTATTTACAAGGATGCACTATCATATATTAAAAAGAAAATGGATCCTCACTAATACTTATATCAATGCAGCAATGGTAATGTATGCCAACATAGCTGCTCTCTTTTGATAATGATCATGTATGCTCAGGTTGTGTGTCTAATTCTAATGTTAATGTATGCCATGCCCCTCTACTGGTAATGATGTACCATTTATAAGCAAAGATGCACCATCAAGTTATAAGAAGGAATAAATAGTATAAATAATAGTGTAGCAATGGTAATGCATGCCAACATGGCTGTTATCTATAAGCAATGATAATGTGTGACATTGACTATTTACGTGTAATAGAAATTTGACATTGAATATTTTCCAATACTATCACATCAGAAAGAAAAAAGAACTCAATTTTGAATCGACCAATTGAACCAATCAGCATTAACTACACATATTTCCGACTGGAAGACGCTGTAGAAAAAAAAAGTAGCGATATTTTCATTTCTCATTACTGTGATTTTGCATTTTGCTTTAATGATTATAATCCATAATTAGCATGTAACAATCGGAGAAGCACACATACAAAGTTAATTTTTATATTTCTGATCGAAAATTCGTCACCATAAATAAAACCTTCTGCGCATGTCTGTATTCTCGGAATTCCTTTTCCAGACGCTATGAAGCCTTTCACGAGAAAATACAGGCCTCGTATCAATTATAATAGGAAACTTCAAATTTGATGTTTTAAACAATTCCCTGGTGGCCAGGTAATTTTATAGAAACTATATAAAGGGTTTAGATATAGTTTCACGCATAATTAGCGTAATTCTTCACGTTAAAAATAAACCGGTTTAGCCCTTTAATATCATTGTAGCTGCCTATTTATAATGTTATTATGTCAGATTATTACTGTCAATTTGCAATGGTAATGTACACCAGCATCGTAGCTGTAAACTAAGCTACAGAGCGAGCATCTATCATGTAAGTTTTTTGTTGCTAGTGTGAAAGAAACCTGACATCCAATTGATTTGCTATCATAAGACTAGAGGATAACTAGTATAACACAATATAGTTAACTTGTATTATATTATATCTATTGTCTTTTCAGTTGACTGTTTGTTTGTTTGTTTGTTTTAAAGTGGATGTGGATATCATTCTTATTTAAAGATGTATTGTCAAACCTAGATGCATGTGGTGTCTGTTTCACTAAGACTTAACTAAGGATGATTTTCAGTCAATTTCTTAATCACTTAAATTGTTTTAAATGTAGCTTTCAGAATTCTAAAACTGTGTGAAACAAGCCTCAGTATTCAGACAGAATCTTAAGCTCCTTTTATATTTGGTTTTGATGAAGTGTTCTTAGTATGGACAGGATAGAAAAAAATGAACATAAAAACATTGCTGACAGGTGGGAAGAGTAATCAGGAGACCAGATTGTTTTAGTGTCTGATTTAAGTGAACTTATTTAAGGATTGTAAGCTGTGTATTGAGCTGTGTAGTGAACTGTTTAATGAACTGATACAAAAATGTACCCATTTACATTCCAGTAAAACCAAGTGGACTGAGAACAGTTCTTCAATTGAAATGTAAATGGAAATTATTTTTAGTATGCTTATCTGTGGAACTCTTACTAAAGAAGATAAGATCAGTCTTGTAATCAGCCAAATATACAACAGCACTGAATATTGTCAAAATTCCATGGGAAAAGACGAAGGTCACTTTTTAGACATGCATAGTAAACCAGAACAGTGACTGTTAACAAATACACTATCGAGTTTGTTCTAAAAACCATTAAGAGACCACCTCCTGAAGGTGCACCAGAATTGAAATGGTGCTCAAAATTGTTAAACTTTTACATTACACTAATTCATCTGTTCCGTTCTGAGAATCCTTGTAAGAAATGATATTCTTTGTAATGTAAGATGGTTTTAAATAAGTAAAGAAGAGAAAAAAAGACAGGTAAATTGTTCTTACCTTGTCTAACGAATGTTTGATTAACATCTAATAGAATATCACAACCCTCTACAATCATTCTCTCTATAGCTAGATTCTTTCTGATATTCTCTGTTTCACTGACTTCATCATGCATCACCTACAAACATACAAACAATGGCAATTTACTTTGTATAAATAATTTTTTATTCACATGAGATATGACAGGCTTCTACCTGTATAACATCTCTCCCAGATAGAGAGGGACACCGTCAATTTGTTTATTCTAACATCATCTTATTTTATCAAGATAGAAGAGTTCGATACAAAAATATACCAAATGAACAATATTAGCTATGTGCAAATAGTCATAAAGTTGCTTCATGTTTGTTATGAGGTCATATTACTATGACAATGTATAGAGTAAGAAACAAAAATGATCATTTGAATTGTTCAAATTTAATTTAGGTTTGAAATGCTTCATTTCCTCATAATTCAGTGTAATTCAGTAATAATAGGCCTACTTTGATCATACAGGCAATATCTAAGAATATGACATATGTTGTCTTTATAGAACAATCTAGATACTACAACAGTTATAGTACACAGTAGACTACAGATTGATATCAACGTAGCAAGGGAGAAAACTCCATTTATAGACAAGTCAATACAAATTATTTTGTAGTCTACTGGTACATCACAAGATACATACAAGATATAAAATTAAAACACTGAAGATGCAGATCATTGCTAATCTTGCTGTAACTATTATTGTTCCTGCAGAGTACTCGACACAAACTCATACTTTTATTTGAAAGTTCGAAAAAAAAGCAGGGTCAGTTATATATGTAAAATATAATGTGGGGAACTGTGGTCCAGTTTTATAGAATGGTACACAAACAGTATGTTTTCTTCTTGTTACCTTAGAAAGTGCTTCTATAGGATATCATCTTCTATATTAACACTGAACACCAACAATGATAAGAATACAGTAGCCTACTTGTAGTGAAATTTTGTGGGTTCTGAGACATATATTCTAATAGTCAGATATTACAGTTACTTACCCGAGACAGATCTTCCAGCTTTCCTTTGGCATATTCTAGACTTTTTCTTTCTACATGATCATGGGGTGTATGAGCTAATAATTCATGTAGGGTGATGATGTATCGAGGAATCTGAAAAATTTTGTAACTCTTAATAATATCGACCTTGAGGACAGGCTGTAGATCAATAGGTTAGAGGGCTGGAATTTCATGATGTCATTTGGTATTGCATTTTGACTGACTGCTAGTGTTAGGTTATAAATAAGTTAGAGCATACTATCAATAGGCATAAAATTGTAGTAGTTTGACCATACCTGATGCATAGGATATGTTAAAAATAATTCCAGTGATCTCCCTTCACAAGCTGGTTTCTCTTCGTAACGTTTGAGCAAATTGTTAAATTCTGGTTTCTGTTTGTATTCAGCTAAAACTTGTAGACTATAATGATGGTTTCTTACGTATTCCTGATAAATACTTAACATTGGTAACAACATATCAAATAAATCTCCTAAAATATATCAACATTATCAAATATTTAAAAATATTATAGTCCAACAAAGATATTTCCACACATTGAGCCATATCAAAATACAAATACGATAGAGAACAGTAATTGAAACTATATAATGCATCATTATTAAAATACAACAATAAAATATCATAAACATAGTTAGAATCATTCAGAAACAACAGTTTTTATNGGATATAGACTTCTATTTATTATTGTACACAACGTTTCATTACACACACAGGTAACGTTATCAACACAACGTTTCATTACACACACAGGTAACATTATCAAGTGATCGAGTGATTGATAACGTTACCTGTGTGTGTAATGAAACGTTGTGTACAATAATAAATAGAAGTCTATATCCATAAAAACTGTTGTTTCTTAATGTGCTGTGATACTTCTAAATGTCTAACAAGGATTATAGTAAGAATCATTATAAAACATAAATCAAAATCTTTAAATAAGAAAACATTGGGAAGTAGTCTTGATATTTTTTATAGTTTCACATGTTTTACTCTATACTTTATCGATGTGATCAATTTTTTTGCCTTATCAGTGTGTTCCAAATTGTATTTTAGTTTTCAGTGCGCAAGTTGAGATCTTCCCACATCTAAACTCTTGTTTTTTTTTTTGCATTGGTGTGCTTTTTAGAAAATTACAAGTTTTTTTTTTACTTTGTATCATGCAGATTTTCAGTAGATTATCTCAAGTTAGTATTTGAAGATCTTACCTAACACTAATGTTGGCCAGTTTTCTAATCTCGCTGTTAACCCTTTTAAAAATATTTGATGTAAAAATAACAAAGTTTCACTGAAACAGAAGAAGAAAAAATATTATGTTTAACATAAATTCTGACAGTAGAAAATTCTAATTTCACAGTCACAGGCAACCAATAGAGCTGAATCATGCAATACTAGAAATTATTTTTCTGTATAATGAAATGAAAAAGATCAAAGTTAACTCCTAATAATTAATACGCACTGGCTATTAGTACCGTCAAGATGCGTGTCCTCTATAGCTACGATACGGATAAAATAAAACACAATAGGCGCGCTAGTTTTCTTAAAGTGTGAAGCCGTTTTGAATGTCAAGAATGATATTAAGTGACTTTGTTAGGGTTAGGTAGGGATGGCCATGTTTTTTAATGCACATTTTTGTACCGTCGTGGTGTGAATAGCCAAAGCCTAATTATTAAAAGGAATTTTGACCTCATACTAAACTTGTAGAATGAAGTTCCAGTATGTGAACTGACAAAATGAAGGTGTGAAAAGTTTGACAAAAGTTTCACAGGGATTGCAACTTCAAATGTTAAAATGTTGAAACATTGTATGTAAAAAATCTTGTGTTCAACAAAACACAGTATACTGGTCCAACATAAAATTGTGATTTATTTAAAAATAAAGAATGTGTCCTGGAATTGGATTTCTCTCCCTTTTGTTGCAGGATAGCTCAGCATCAATTATTATCCATGTGTTCAAATGTTATTTTTTTTAAAATATCGTAACATTCTTAACACATATTCACAAGCAAACTGAATTTTGTCCCATGCAAGCCAATTATATCCTTATAAAATATATCTGGACTTCTATTTGTCTCCATCAGCCAAAATCAAGATAACTGATGTGGAAAGGGTTTTTTTAATAATAGCCACTAGCTTAGTGGCATGAGTCTAGTGGCATGAGCTTAGTAGAATGAGCTTAGTAGAATGAGTCTAGTGGCACAAGCTTATTTAGAGGCATGAGCTTAGTGGCACGAGCTTTTTTAGGGACATGAGATTAGTGGCGTGAGCCTAGTGGTGTGAGCCTAGTGGCATGGGCTTAGTAGAATGAGCTTAGTGGCATGAGTTTAGTGGCATGAGCATAGTGGCACAAGCTTATTTAGGGGCATGAGCTTAGTGGCATGAGTTTAGTGGCATGAGCTTAGTGGCATGAGTTTAGTTGCATGAGCCTAGTGGCATGAGTTTAGTGGCATGAGCTTAGTGGCATGAGTTTAGTGGCATGAGCTTAGTGGCATGAGTTTAGTGGCATGAGCTTAGTGGCATGAGTTTAGTGGCATGAGCCTAGTGGCATGAGTTTAGTGGCATGAGCTTAGTGGCATGAGTTTAGTGGCATGAGCTTAGTGGCATGAGTTTAGTGGCTTGAGCCTAGTGGCATGAGTTTAGTGGCATGAGCTTAGTGGCATGAGTTTAGTGGCATGAGCTTAGTGGCATGAGTTTAGTGGCATGAGCTTAGTGGCATGAGTTTAGTGGCATGAGCTTAGTGGCATGAGTTTAGTTGCATGAGCCTAGTGGCATGAGTTTAGTGGCATGAGCTTAGTGGCATGAGTTTAGTGGCATGAGTTTAGTTGCATGAGCCTAGTAACATGAGCCTAGTGGCACAAGCTTTTTTAGGGGCATGAGTCTAGTGGCATGAGCCTAGTGGCATGAGCTTAGTAGAATGAGCTTAGTGGCATGAGCTTAGTGGCATGAGCTTAGTAGAATGAGTCTAGTGGCACAAGCTTATTTAGAGGCATGAGCTTAGTGGCACAGGCTTTTTTAGGGACATGAGATTAGTGGCGTGAGCCTAGTGGTGTGAGCCTAGTGGCATGGGCTTAGTAGAATGAGCTTAGTGGCATGAGCTTAGTGGCATGAGCTTAGTGGCATGAGTTTAGTTGCATGAGCCTAGTAACATGAGCCTAGTGGCACAAGCTTTTTTAGGGGCATGAGCCTAGTGGCATGAGCTTAGTAGAATGAGCTTAGTGGCATGAGCTTAGTGGCAGGCCTAGTGGCATGAGCCTAGTGGCATGAGCTTAGTAGAATGAGCTTAGTGGCATGAGCTTAGTGGCATGAACTTAGTGGCATGAGCCTAGTGGCATGGGCTTAGTGGAATGGGCTTAGTGGAATGAGCCTAGTGGCATGAGCCTAGTGGCATGGGCTTAGTGGCATGAGTTTAGTGGTATGTGTTTAGTGGCATGGACTTAGTGGCATGGACTTAGTGGCATGAGCATAGTGGCACAAGCTTATTTAGGGGCATGAGCTTAGTGGCATGAGCCTAGTGGCATGGGCTTAGTGGCATGAGTTTAGTGCTATGAGCTTAGTGGCATGGGCTTAGTGGAATGAGCCTAGTGGCATGAGCCTAGTGGCATGAGCCTAGTGGCATGAGCTTAGTGGCACGAGTTTAGTGGTATGTGTTTAGTGGCATGGACTTAGTGGCATGGACTTAGTGGCATGAGCATAGTGGCACAAGCTTATTTAGGGGCATGAGCTTAGTGGCATGAGCTTAGTAGAATAAGCTTAGTGGCATGAGCTAAGTAAGCAAAATAGTTAAGACAGAGAATTGGCTAATGGTACTTACCTATTTAAAAATATACTATTAACATCTTCATGAGTAACCGGTGGTTTCTTTGAGCTGGCAGCCATTCGTAATGGGCGTAAAAAACATGTGACTAAACACGATAATTGTCTGTTGTATTCTTCCTCACATTCGACCATATTGAACACGATATTATTTCTTTTTCTCATACTCTCCGCATGTGGACTGCGGATATACAACTCTACGATTTGTTTCCATCTTCTCCGACATAACCAACCCCGGAAAAAACTCTGAACCTAAAGAATTTTAATATATTTGTTTGAGTATGAAAGTTTATAAAACATAAGCAAGATAATTTTAAGGCATACTATTTTAAAATTAAGTAAAGCAGCTGAGTTTAAGGCTTCTCCACAATTACCTTTTGCATCTTCACTTTATACCTTGACTGCAAAGGCCCGCTTTCTTCTTTCACAGTCATCAGCAATTTGATTGGATTGTAAGAGAGCCAATACAGCCATTCAAAGCCTTTGATTTCATGAAAATTAATTTTTACAGTGGCTGTATTTGCTTGCATACAATTCAGTCAAATTCTGCTTTCACATTCTTCCGTGAAACAATGAGGCCATTGCAGTCAAGGTCTAAGATGAAGAAGTAATACTATTGTCAAGCTGTGTTTAAGGGTGTTTTTTTCCAACATTTTTATGTATATCAGGGTTATGAGTTGTGACGTATGCATGAATATTGGAATGATGAGTATTTTTATCTCAGAATTACAATTTGGGGTTGGAGTTCCAATGAAATGATTTCTACTAAGCTGAATGAAGGGATGATGATGTTTAAAATAACATTTCTATTAAACTCAAGTAGTCTAATTTTTCTAAAAACTACAAATAAAAAAATAAAAATCAAAATTCTAAAATGAAACATCTCCATATTGGTCTACCTGATGTTATCACATCCTTAAAAATAACATTGATATAGATTTTATTTTCACATTTTATTCAATTGGTTTTATTGAAGATTTACAAAAGTTTCTGAAGTTTTTTCAGAGTTGGGCTTAAATCTAGTTTTCTCGATTAAAAAATTTTGGTCTGTGTTTATAAATAAATAAATAAGTACCAACGATCCGAACCGCAAAACAAAACCCGAAATCCAAAACAACATTTTGGTGAAATATTGGTAGCAACTAATGAACATTTCACATGAAGAAGTATATCAATCATAGATTGAAAATTGAAAAGGTCATTCATAGAAAATTTAAGCATAACTGATAAATAAAGAGGTAGCTAAATTTGACCAAATATGTCTGCCCTGTTTTGTACACTACAATATTTGGTACTATACATTTTGATTTAATTGAAAGTCCCTTATTATTATCAAAATGTTTCTGGCCATTTTGTAAATATTAAGCACTAAACATTTTGATTTGATTTAAAATTTCATATTATCAAAATATGTCTGCTCCATTTTGTAAATCTTCAACAAAATTTGAATACAAATCATTTTAATGGTTATATCAACAATGGGAAACAGTGAATAATCAGCCAGCTTCACGATACATTGTTTGCTGTCACTAGTGAGGGAAGATGGTGAAGGGCCTGGACAATATACATGCCTGTTTTAAGGACAGAGAGACGACAATTGAAGTCAGTTTGATTGTTAATCAAAGATCAATGTTATTCAACCATTTTAAAGCATCCTTTCTGATTCTGTGATCTTGAAGATTTTTGACTTTTTGTTAAAGAAAATAATGTGTCTCTAAATTGTCTTCATGAAAAATATTTGTGTATTGTCTAAAAATATCATTTGTTTCCAATCAGAAGAAGCAGGATTTAAAGCTTCATTCGTTTTTCAAATTTAATTAATTTATCAACACTTTACAAGTAAAACCATTTTCAAAACTCAACTGATGAAGGAAAAATCAAAGAAGCACTTGAACTAAAATATACCTCACTAAATAATTGAAGACAAGACTACACATTTTTAAAAACAAATGTCAAGAAATTCTTTGATAGGAAAGTTACATGAGTCTATTAGAATAATACAATATGATATTTATTTCATTATGATAGAATTCCTAGCAAGGTTATATCAAATTATAAATACCCCAGTTTCCTACATTTAACTCAACTTCTAGTCATATTCTAACAATATCAGGAACAAAACTCTTGTCATTGTAGGCCTTCACAGGGAAAGAATTGCCTACACAACTGTGTGGCAGTACTCAGTGCCTCACCTAATGATATATAGAAAATCCACTAATTACTCTATGTTCAATTGCTACTTTTTTTTCTTAAATGACTTTGGTTGGGTTTAATTTTTCATACATGAAATATTCTATTTTAAACTTATGGGAATTTTTCCAGAATGATTGGGTGTCAAAGAGTAAAATGTTTATCACAAAATGCTTGTGGACAACCTTGGTGATGTTCTTTATCTGAAAATCTACATTTACTTGTTAAGGCTTGTTAACATGTTTCATGAATTAACTTTTGGGTTTTATTTTTCATACCTTCAATTTTCTATTTTAAACTTGTGTTATTTTTCCGGAATGATTAGGCATCAGTAGGGCCTATTTATCACATAACAGCTTTGGAGACGTTCTACACCTAGAAATCTATAATTACTCATAAAGGCTAAAAAGTGTTACTAAATTAAGAAAAATTTGAAAATCAAGAAATGGTGCTTCAAATCCTATTCTTCCTGATTTCAAATAAATGACATTATTAAACTTATGGGAATTTTTCAGACTGATTAGGCATCAATATATAACACATAACAACTTTTTAATTTGGAAAAGTTCTACACCTAGAAATGTACAATTACTCATAAAGGCTTGGCCTCGTATTTCATCATGACTTAACTTTATTCATCTTTGGGTTTTATTTTTCAAATCTTCAATTTTCTATTTTAAACTTGTGGGAATTTTCCGGAATGATTAGGCATCAGTATTTATCACAACTTTTTTAATTTGGTGTACTTCACCTAGAAATCTACAATTACAGGTAAAGGCTTGGCATCACATTTCAATACCTGACATCATACTATTATGACTGGCAGTCTGGCATCCATTAAACTAAAATCACATCGGAGACATACCATGCCTGGAGCTGAAATTTATCTGCAATTCTTTCTTGTTGTAAAAATCAATAAAATCATACTAGAATCTAAATCTAGAAAAGATGCTTTTAAATGAAACATAGTGTATTATACTTTACCAAACGTGTTGTAAAAACAAACTACCATGCGGATGAATGTGATGAACAAAAAAACGTGCGTATCCATAGAAACGTTTTAGAATAGAAAAGCAAGTTTTTGTTACCTTTTTTACCTTTTTGATTTTACGTATTTCATCTGTCTCTTCATCTACAGTGTGATTTGAGCAAATTTGATTTTTAAATTTTTGAAGCTGGAAATTGAAAAAAATAGATTTAATGAGATGGAGTTGCTAGAAAATGGATAATAAATAACTGGTTCCAGATGTCACAAGATAGCAAGAAATGCGGCTAATGAAGACAGTAATACAGTAGTGTGCAATTTCTAACTGTGGAATATGTCAATATACCTCTTAAAAAATCAGACGTTTATTTTTCCAGATGAATACTTGCTCTCAAAAATATTTCTGCAGAACTGTTAAGGATTTTTTAACTACGCATTTGACATTGATTTCTGTATTCATGTAAACAAGATGCTTTTTCCCTCTAACTAATCCCCGACCCCTGCTTTTAAGCTAAGCACTGATGTAGGCCTACAGATTGCAGATGAACCATTTGTGGAGGAAACCATGAACATAGAATGAGGAGAAATGATGAGAGAGATGCTTGCATACACATTAGACGAGTAAAGGCGCCTCATTTTTGATACATTGAAAGCGAGGCTCATAACGCAAATTATGTCATCCATTGACAAGATGGCAATGTCATATGAATGAATAGCCTATGTCTCTAAACACCAGACCAATAGCCAAAAAATGGGCATGAAACTGCCCTTTCTCAGAATTGTGTATAGGTAAGATTCATGTAAAAGTATCATTAAATAGCTTCAAGAATTCAAAATGTAATGATGTAAAAAATGATTAGTTTTGAGTTGGTGGGATTAGAGAAAGAGGCTTTAAAGACATCAAGGTGACAATTTTACTGTAGTGACCACACTGTTACCTTTGTTTGCGTTATGAGCCTCGTTCTGGATCCAATATGGCCGACAAATAAGAACTATTTGAATAGCCAATGAAGGTCTAAAAGGGAACATGACAAAATTGGAGATTACAAGATCCAAAACAAACTTGCCTCAGCTTTTAATTTTTTAACTTCGATGGTAAATTCGTCAGTTTGTTGAACGTACTGCCATTTGGCCTGTCTCTCACTGTCTAGTATCTGGAGTAGGTGTAGATGTTTCTGTTCTAGCTCCTCTTTCATCTCCACCACCTTACTATAGCTGGCACGTTTAATGGCGTCAATCCAGGCCGTACATTCCGATTCTGAATCACACCGTAAATCATATTGTCTCTGTCCTTCACTTTTATAAGTTATAGTAAAACAATGCTGAAATAGTAAAAGTAACCCATTATTTAAAAAAGTTGGTATAAATTAATCTTTGGTAATGAAACATAATGTAGCTTAGAAAATGAAACATTAAAAAAATTGTGTCTCATTTCATAGATGATATTGATGAAAACCTTATCAATAAATAAATGGGACTATGGTTCTCATTATCCAAATAACTAACTATGTAACATCAAGAATATATATTATCTCTGTCTCTTATGGGAATTTTACTACAGTAGAAATGTGCAATAGTTTTTTTTTGTAGAATTGTTAAGGTTCAAAAATGATATGGAGTGTGCTGTAAAATATCTGTATTTGTTTTTGTTTTATATCAAGTTTTATTTATTTTTTTTTCATAAAATGAAGGTTTTGAATTCAAAATGAGAAAAGGTTAGTTTGTAATAAACTGAGTTTCATATTTAGATTTTAGATACTTAATCTTTCTAATTTATGTAGAATTGTTAAGTTTCAAAAATGATATAGAGTGTGCTATAAAATATCTGTATTTGTTTAAGTTTTATTTGTTTTATGACATCTAGAGTCAAATACTGTGTTGAAATTTTTGAAGGAAAGGATATTATATTTTATGTGCTAATTGCTACTGAAATAAGCTTGTTGTGGGGTTAAACGAACATTTATTAAGATTGGCCTTGATCATTGTGTCTATCAATCTGTCATTTGTATCACATAGACTGAAAGAATAGGCATGGAAGACGGGATCACCTGTATTTTCCGCACATACAAATATAGAAAAAGGGAGATGGGAGGAGCACCTGTATTTATTTCAGCATTGGGATAACAGCAACATTAGGTTTCAAGGAAATTAGAGAAACTGTATTTATAAATCATATAGGTGTAGAAGGAAAATAGGGGAGGGTCACCTGACTCTGGCATTCCTTAGATTCTGATATATTGCAACTTATACCATATAGCCATGGTAAAAAGTCATGTAAAACTATGTTATATTCTGATTATGATTAGACATTAGAACTATGACAGGAAATCTAGAAGAATAATGATAAATGGTAAGTGTCATAACACATGGGAAACTCTCATCATTAAATTCCTCTTGTTATAACTATTCTTCTTATCTCATAATCAAGCCCATTGTACACTGTCTTATTCTTATGGGACTGACGCCAACTTGGCTCAGTAGCTGTACACTGGCTTAAACTTAGGGCACTGGCTATATCTTAGCACAATAGCTGTACACTGGCTTACACTGGCAACTCAGTAGAAAAGTTTAAAGTCCATACAGTTTCCTTAACTAAGTGCATTAGCTCAAACCAGGGTTTGCTTATCTAAGACCACAGTGTACTAGTTCAAGCTTAATGTCATGTATTGAAGACTCAAACTTCAATAACATTTTTCTTCCGTTTTTCTAAATAAAAAAGACTGGATTCTTTTTACATTTTGAAATGTCTTCAGAATATTTAAATATCATTGTCCTTATTAGTTACTTTACAGTTACGCAACATGGACAAAGTTTAATATGATGTTTTATCCAATCATATCTTATCTAATATGACAGTTACTATAATAGAAAGCTATTTTCTACGCTGGAACTAAATAGACTGCATTAACTTTATGCTAACATTTTATCAAATCATTTTGCCATACTTCTGACGAGATTTTGATTAACGGAATAATCATGCTTGTACAGATTTTTATTTTATCAATCATATCTTGTCTGATGTGACAGTAACTTAAATAGAAACGGTTACCGAATGTAGTTTACCAATTTGCAGAGAATATTGATTTAATGGTAATCCAACAAAACAAATTCACAATCTGATCTCAGCTTTTTATTCCCAGACGTGCTGCGTAAAAACATTCATATTTTTTCATATCAGGTGACAAGTTTATGACATTGGTGATAATGGGGTGTCTAGATGAAATAGGTACCAAGAGCATTCTTTATTTATACCAATTACTTTATTACATATAGCATTTTCACAAGATTTAAATCAACAAGGCAAATACACGAGTCTTATCCAATGTTTTGTGGATTAAATAGGTGAAAGTATTAGACAGTGGTGTTTTTAGGAAGAATAAGGTGAGGGGGTCGAGCAGGGGTCATACAATTTTCCAGGGTAGCTACAGGCTATTATTTCTCTATGCAAAATGATAAACAAAATTTGAAAGTGGGGGCCAAAGGAATTATGTGATTTTCGTACATTTCTAGTACTTCTGAAGACCATTTACCAATATTCAAGACTGAAATCAACCCCCAAAATGGCACACCTGTCCCTTTAAGAATACATGAAAATTTTATTAGAAACACCAATTAATTAAACACTTTGAAAAATTTGACACTAAAAAATAAGGAACCCAGAGGGCGGTGCCTAACTAAAGTGGCTATATTCAAAATAAAAGCTAATAAAAAGTGGGAACAAAAGTTTGGTTTAATTTTAATTAGACTGCCATTTCATCTCTATAAGAGAATCTGGAGACCTGAGGCAATGATTACAACATAGAGTAATCCTTGATCAATAGTACTATATCTTAACTTGGCAACTTTTATATAACTTCATTTCTTTCTAAAACCTCTTATCTTATTCATACACACTAACAGCAACTTAAAGGCTGACTCCCAATTAGATTTCAGTGATATTTCTAAAACAGTTGCATTACATAACATCTATCAACAGCAACTTAAAGGCTGACTCCCAATTAGATTCAGGTTATGTATTTCAGAACCAAATCAGGATTCTACAAAAGTTTAGTCAAATCAAATTACTATTAAGATTTCAGTGTTCTGATATTTATAAATCAAAATAGGATTGTCAGTGGCATATTTATGCAGTAATTTTTGAACATGCCCCCTAATCCCCTATCTTGGAGATTCTCCTTTCACTTTCCAATTCAAATTCTCATAATCAGTCAATTCAATTTAACAACTTATGTGTGAAGCCAGTAATATAAGAATTGTTTTGGACACAAGTCAAGTTATAAAAAGTGATAGAAACCCAGTACATGTCTGTCTCTTATCTATTCTGAATCCAGTCTAGAAAAAGATTAACAAATCACTGTTAAAAACAGTAACCAGATAATCATTGGCTTAACAGGATGACTAGAATCTCTAGAACATGGACACAGAATACTAATAGAGTGATTAGACTGAGTTTCTCTAGTCTACTGACCGCGTTAATATAGCTAACATAATCATACCAGATAATCACAGTTTGACTCTAAAGAGAATAGCTGAAGCTTGACAATAGACCTTCAAGACATTGGTTATGATATCAGAAATCTTTTCTTGAATCCACAATTTGCAAAAATCCCTTTGATACACAAAATTTTGTCTTACGCTTGAACCTAAGATCTGGACCATCCCTCTAATGCAAATAATCTTTTCGTACTCTTTAGAGTGTTACTAATCTAGGGTTTTCCTAGCAGACGAAAGGCCATGTTGATACTTAAAGGGGCTCCTCAAGATAGAAAAAATTCTGCTTCCAGTGTGTTGATAAATTTTATTTTGCGGCTTTGGATTGTTAGTCCTTATGTTATGATATTTATATAACATAATGTCACACAATGCAGACCTGTAGTTAGTCCAGGGCCAAAATGTTTTAAGGAGGGCCCAACTATAGCGACTCAAAAATGCATTCAAATCATCTAAATTTTTTCTCACAATATATCATATTAGAGGTAATATCCAGCTAAAACACTACATATCACAACAAATACTGTTATTATTAACATGAATTGCCCTCTAATACCTAGCTATAACACCATATATAATACCTAGCTATAACACTATATATAATACCTAGCTATAACACTATATATAATACCTAGCTATAACACTATATATAATACCTAGCTATAACACTATATATAATACCTAGCTATAACACTATATATAATACCTAGCTATAACACTATATATAATACCTAGCTATAACACCATATATAATACCTAGCTATAACACCATATATAATACCTAGCTATACCACTATATATAATACCTAGCTATAACACTATATATAATACCTAGCTATAACACTATATATAATACCTAGCTATAACACTATATATAATACCTAGCTATAACACCATATATAATACCTAGCTATAACACTATATATAATACCTAGCTATAACACTATATATAATACCTAGCTATAACACTATATATAATACCTAGCTATAACACTATATATAATACATAGCTATAACACTATATATAATACCTAGCTATAACACTATATATAATACCTAGCTATAACACTATATATAATACCTAGCTATAACACTATATATAATACCTAGCTATAACACTATATATAATACCAAGCTATAACAC